GATAGTTTTCCATCTTGGCTTCAACTTCACTTGCCTGCAGCATGTAACCATCATGCCGTCGCCCCTCTAAAGGCCCATGTAGAGAAACAAACAATCCGTTTGCCATGGTAATGCTCTGGAATTTAATCCCGTGCATCTTCTTGTGGCCGCTGTATGCTTGCTGCTGAAAACGGGTTGGCCGGCAAGTACGACGAAAAGTCCCGTCTATAAATCCAATGCAGTTCGTTAACCGTCTCACTTTGTCGAAAATTGCATCGGCAGAGTACTGCTTGTAGCACCCGATCATCCGGTGATCGAACTCCATTTTATTCTGGATCTTGCTGTAGATCATCCTGGCCGTAGTGTTTACTGCTGACGAAAGCACAGGGGCAGTGTGCATGAATTCGGATCGAAGGTCTTCGTATCGACTGGGATAGGCCAAGCGCCTTAGCAGCAGGCACAATGCTTCCTGCCGTGGAATGGGGCACATCTGCGCTGTGTAGATCGTAGCCGGAAGCCCGAGGGCCTCTTCAAGTACCAGAATTTCTTCGGGATAGAAGCGAAGGCGAAGCTTGCACGTTTCTGCGTCAAGATCAGCTAGGTTAAATGGCTTACGGGCTAGTGCAACGCGATCTTGTAGCGCCCTCGTGCTTATGAACTGGACAAGGTAGCTCATGACGTCATCCATATCCATTCCTAGCGCTAGCAACGCCGCCAAGACGAGCTGGAGTTCGCGGTCCGTGACATCAAGCCGCATTGTTGTGACCCTTCGTTTTGTTATACGCACTACAGTACAAGTGACAATCTATTCCGAGCTTGAAGCTCCAAAATAGTAAAGTTTAAAGCGCAGCCAATTGGAAGAACGCCCTGGAGCAACTCGGGTTATTCCAGTTCCAGGGCAAATTCCAAAAACTAAAGTTCTCTATTAAATGCCGTTTCTTGGGAATATCTGAGGAGTACAAAAGCTACAGACTACTAGATGTATATAACAACAGGTTTCTGCATTCAAGTAATGTCATGTTTGATACACAATATAGTACTAGCCTAGTTACGTGTGCAGATGGAGAAGGCGTAAACACTACTGGTACTAGCACAAAGGTTACCCAAACAGTGGGAGATTCTGTCGTGCAACAAGATAAACCCCAAACCATGGGAAAGTCTAAGAAAAAAAAAGGAGGGATAGTAGAAGCAGTGGGAGAAACTGCTAAATCCTTAAAGTGAACTCGACGTGAGACTAAACGATCAGCACTATTCAGGGATTACATGTGCTTTCAAGCACAAGTGGATAATGTCATTAATGAAGATGGGATTCAGAATAAGATTCCAATTCCGCGAAATATAAAAGAGGCATTAAGAGGTCCATACAATAAACAATGGCGGCAAGCACTGGATCTCGAATACTCTGTAATAGATAATGGCACGTGGAAACTTGTGCAGCTACCACCAGGTAGGAAAGCTCTACCGTGTCATTGGGTACTCGTGGTTAAATACCTTGCAAATGGAGTTGTCAAAAAGTTTAAGGCCCGATTAGAAGCACAAGGAAACCACCAAGCGTTTGGTGTTGATTGTGATGAGGTATATGCACCTGTAGCTCGGTTTGAGTCACTTAGGCTGGTATTAGTTATCGACACTATATTGGACTGTCATTTTCATCAAATGAATGTCCACACAGCATTCCTAAATGGAACTATGGAAGGAAACACAACATTCTATATGAGACAGCCTCCTGGATATCATGTTCCTGGCAAAGAGGCTTTAGTATGCAAACTCCAGAAAGTGAAACAAGCACCCCAAATTTGGTATCAAGTCCTTCATAAGTATCTCAAAAGGTTGGGTTTTGTCCGGTGCAACAAGGAATTTTGCCTCTACATAAAATAAGTGGGAGATGAATGGGTAATCATTGTGGTATATGATGATGACCTAACGATCATGTCAAAAAGTATGCGACTGATCAATAAGGTCAAAGCAGCACTGTCTATGAGATTTAAAATGAAGGATGTTGGAGACGTCCACTACATCCTGAAGTTGGAAATCAAACGGAACAGAGAAGAGAAGACAATGCCCATCTCACAGTATCAGTACATATCAGGACTACTGAAGAAGTATAACATTGAGAACAGCTCAGTAGTAGCGACTCCCCAAGTCACAGGCCTTGAGATCGAGCCTGAAACTAAGATGATGGCTGAACAAATAGCAGCACACAGCTTTGGAATAATAGGGTCGCTACAATATCTAGTGACAGGTACACGACCAGATATTGCAAATGTAGTAAGGGAATTGAACAAATACCTGTCATGCTACAACAACACACATTGGGAAGCAGCAAAGAGAGTACTGAAATACTTGAAAGGGACGTCAAGGTACGGCCTATTCCTTGATGGGAAATCGAGAGACGTGACTTACGAAGTGTACACTGACGCAAGCTTCGCGTGGCAATCAAAAGAACGTAAATCGATCACAGGATATGTGATTAAAATGGCTGGCTGCAGTATTTCTAGGTGTAGTAGCAAACAAGGATGCGTTTCCCTGTCCACAGCAAAAGCGGAACTTATCACACTAAGTGAAGGTGCAAAAGAATGCGAATGGTTGTGGCGCTTGCTATCGGAAATGGGATTTCCTCAAACAAAGCCTGTGCAGGTATGGTGCGATAGCAGATCAGCTATCAGCATTACTAAGAATCCTGGAAACCATAAAGCTAGCAAGCACATTCAGATTAAATTATTGTTTACAAGAGATTTAGTAGAAGAAGGACGTCTAATAGTTGAATACTGCCCGACTACAAGTTGGCAGCAGGCATCCTAACTAAAGCTCTTCCTACAAAACAATTCACAGTACTGAAAGGCAAAACTGAAATAAGAGACCTACTGACAGCGATGAACACTTAGAGGGAGTGTTGGATTGATGGCTGAATTGCCAGAGATACCACCGGCTAGTGGTAAGTGTCCATTGGTCAGATAGGTGGCTCTACCGATAAGGATGGGTGAAGCCACTTTAAGTTGCAAATAAATATCCAATCAGAATAGATATAATCTCCCTACAACAGGCAGCACCGCTCTCGCGATGATGGTCTAGCTAGCAAAGAGAGCTCACTTCTCCTTTTGCCAACAACTGAGCGCATCAGTTTATTGGAGGGCAACAAGAGAATAAATATAAGTACCAGTTTAAATTAAAACTGACTGTTCAACAGCTACAGATGATGCATTGAGTTGCGGTCGCCAGTGATCCAAAGCAGAGATGCAGAGCTTTGTTTTGGTCCAATTAGCCTTTGTTTTGACTGAGGTTTGGGCAATCAACATTCATTTGATTACGACCCATGCAATCATTTTCAGCCAGAGGAAGTAGACAATAATGTCCGCACGAAGCTGGAGCTTATGCCTCTAGTTACGTTCATGAATAGCCGATTGTGTTCGACAGCGTTCTGTTCTAGAATGTAAACGTCATCAGAAACTTGCCATAAAACACGCTGGTGAAACTTTTAGTTACGATTGTCATCAGGGGATGCGAGATAATGTGGACCTTGTCGAAGCACTGACAAAGTGACCAAAATATCTTGATGATAAAGCCTCGGATTTAGATATATGTACGCCAACCTAGTCGGCGCGAGGAGTCATCTCCAAGATAACGACTTACAGCAAACACGAAAGCGGTACGAGGATGGTTGTCGCCACGATTGTAAATACTCTACAAACTGTTACACTGTCACTGCAACTAAAAAATACTTGGGTTTTGTAAAACTTTTTGTTAACCCTTTCGTGGTCAATGGGGGCATTTTGCCCCCTTTGGAGGGGGTATCCTCGAGTGCCACTCGTGTCATCCACGAAAGGGGGCAAAATGGCCCCTTTCATTTTTTTGTGTGTGTGGACAAAGCGGAATCGCCCTTTCTACTGGAACTACATGGATTTGTAGAAGATTTGCTGTAGTACCGTAGTTTATGAAAGGGGGGGGCAAAATGCCCCCTTTGATGGACTAATGACTTGACCTTCTATACTATAATATAGCCAGGTCAAAAGTACCCGTTCGCGAAAGGGTTAATTTGCTACGAGTTGAATTGATACAGCAGCTCAGTCTTGTAATTCGATTCCGCAAGTCTAAACGAGTGCAGCAATTACTCGACATGGGCTTCTCTCGCGAGCTGGCAGACGAGGCATTGCTGAAGAACAAAGGTGACGTGCAAGCTGCTGCCAATTATTGCTTCGAAGCGACCAGCGGTTGATGAGAGGTGGCAAAATAGTAGGCAAAAAATAAGTAGGAACGAAGCACCAACCACCTGGTGCTGTACCCATTTTGGGTAGATGAGAAGTGCCGTCCACTTCGCGCAGGTCTGCGTGACTCGCTGCTGACCACAACCTTTGGTTGACATTTTATCTTGAAGTGTAGTACACTGCCACGAACCGATAAAATATTGTGTATCGTTTCTAATGTATCTGAACTCATGTTGAAGTCTCCCATGTTCAGCCGGAGTCTTGGAAGCCTTGGCACTTCGTCACAATATAGCTCGTAGCGCCCTACGAAAGAACTATCACTTGTCATTTGGCGATATGGCTCGTAAGCGCAAAAGAACGGCAGCAACAACTATACCGTACGCGTACCAGTGCGTCAGTCGCAAGTTGAATCAAGTCTGTGGTCTGGAGTTCCTGCGCAAAGAGCTCCAGTGAACGATTATCGTTCTCCGCCAGGTGGGGCTCATTGGATGGAAAATCGCGGGAGTGCATATCCTCCGCGGCCTCGATCAGGGCGAACCGCTTCCTGAACTCAACTCGATGTTTTTTTTACCGTGCTGCGCTGCTTCTCTGGGTTCGACTGAGAAACGAGATCGGTACAAGACGAACCCCAAATACCCCGACCTCAACAAGACTTTTTTTAATGTACTGGAAACTTTGACAACAGCTTCCAACCCACGTGTCACCGTCGATGGGAGTATTGCGGTGCCATGATAAACTAAATGGCCACGACAATGACGGTTAATACTGCCAACATGTTGGCTCTACACTTTCGTCGGCGACTGCACCAATACGTTAGATTTCGGTACGCGAAGGAAGGGAAGATTCAACTGAGCTACAACAAAACCAAGAAACTTGTTGATAGCTGCTATCATGTCCAAGAAGTTCAGGGGTTTGACACAAATGGCAATCCAACAGCTACTACAAAACGTGGGGTGCTTGGGATAAGTGGCGGACTCCAGAAGAGCGTGAGTTACGTGAGTTGCTCGGTATGGAGCCTTGGCAATGGACAATTCGGGAGAATCTAGGTGACGAAGGTGTACGACATGCTTTCGTGGATGGCGGGTTTTGTGGAGAGACAACCAAAGACAAGAGGAGCTCATCTCTACTCGTTACTACCACAATCGAAATCTTTCATACCATCTCACGTTACACTGAACGCGACGACTTTGTACGGGCTCTTTTGTCGCATTTACGATGATCCGGTGGCGAAAAAATTCGTAAATGGCGATGTGAGACTAGAATGCAGAACTAAAGCAGCTCTTGCTACCTGGACATTAAATCGCCAAGGTATTCTTCGCAAGATTTTCAACGTAACCGAGTTGGAGACCAGAACCCGCAAGTTCGGTAACCAAGTCACGACGGATGGCTATGCAGCTTCGGTACTACTCCAGCGCGAAATGCATACCACAGAACCCACAGACACCAAAACGACTCCAAGGAAAAGGAGGAAGACTAGCGAAAGTCGAGTAACAAATGTTGTGGAGAAAGATACCTTGGATTTGGCACTTGACGAGTTACCAGATGGCTACACTCCAGACATTTTCATTGGGATCGATCCTGGTGTTCGATGTTAGAATGCTGTTTATGGTTGCGTCAACTGGATATCATCCACAGCAACGGCAAGGTCGATAGCGCAAACGTCGCCACAGACGTCGTCGCTTTCGAAAAAAAGATTCGAGGAAGCGCATTGCGAAGAATCAACACGGTCAGTAAATTATCGGTGTCAGCACAGCAGAGTACTATCACTTGGCCAAGTTCAATAAGAAGCGCGTATGGGACCTCTACTTGTGGAAGACAGAACCTGCGTACGCTTTGATTTTGAAGCAAAATGCCAAGTTTTAAAAATTCTCAGCTGACATGACTGCGAGACTAAGATCGTGATTGGAAAGACCATTGCTTAGAAATATGCTGCACTCGAAGGGGGTGGGCTTTTTGTCTGGGCACATGGGGAGCATATCCACTGACACGGCAAGAATCCGATACAAGATAGCGATTAAGTACCACGAGTAGTATGTAGCCAACTTGAATTGATACAACAAATACTACTTTATATTTATTATTTTATAATTGATTAATAATCAATTATAACTGGTCTCAGTTTGCACAATGGCGAAGGCGAAGGAGTCGAGCGACGCACGCGACGTGCCTCTGGAGGAGCGTCTGCGCCAGAAGAAGCAGGGTTTCGCTGTGCAGACGGAGGGTGAGACAGAGCCAAGCGGACCTGCGCGCCGCGCCAACAAGAACCAGCCGCTGGAGCTCAGTTCTAAGCGCGCCGTGGGCCGATTCCGACAGGTGGTGGACGTCAAGAAGAGGCGTGTGCTGGACCCGCGCTTTGAGGCGCAAAGCGGCCGTCTAAACGAGGAGCTGTTCAGTAAAAGCTACGCTTTTTTGGATGAGTATAAGCAGCGCGAGTTGCAGGAGCTGAAGCAGCAACTTAAGAAGAGCAAGAGTTCTGCCAAGAAGGAGGAGCTCAAAGTCAGTATATGGAAGACAGAATGCAGAATGAGTGGAGATATGCTGATATTTGTACTGTATCGTGTTATTGATGCAGCACGAGATCGCTCTGCGGCAGCAGGCGATGACGGAGAAGAAGAAGCAGGAAAAGATTAAGAGCGCACTGACCAAGCGGAAGCGCGAGGAGCGTGAGGCTGTCGCGAGCGGGAAGGGAGCCTTCTACCTCAAGGTTTGTTGCTATTGGAGGTGTGGTTGAGAAAGAGAGGGGAACTGACAGTGTTTCTGTGGTGGATTACTGCAGCGCAAGGACAAGAAGAAGCTGGAACTCCAGGCCAAGTTCCAGGACCTGCAGGAGACCGGAAGGCTGTCCAAATTTATGGCCAAGAAGCGCAAGAAAAACGCCAGCAAAGACCACAGATGGCTGCCCACGCAGCGGAAATAGGTGTATGTTTGCTACTGATTGCAAGCCGTTTCGTCGGTCGTGTTTGGTTGTACGGTGGCGGAGTCTTTTGCTACGCTGGCGGCTTGCAATATGGACATACTAAAATAGACAGTTTTTGCATTTGCTCAAGCGCTGGATTCAACAGTACATGTAGACAAGATCGCGCGTCGGGCGCATGCAGCGAGCGCCGCTATAAGCATTCTTTCCGATTTGCTTGTCAAATTTGGGTTGTCAGTCTTCCTCTATTTTACCCAAATCTGAACGTTCTGCGCTTTTTCCGACCAGCGCGAAAGAAAGTGCGGTCATCGGACTTAATCGCGAACCTTAATACAAAACTCAAGTGAAATCAGTTGCTTGAATTGTACATGTAGTCCGGCCTTCCGACAGCCCTCATTTCATCATCAGGCGAGGCTCTCTTTACCATGGCCTCGCCGGGCACCTGGGACCGAAAGAGCGGCGGCTCTCAATCGAGCGTCGTCACCAGCCGCACCATCCCGACCATGCAGCGCTCTCGCAGCAGCGGCCAGGAAAATGCCGCTCTCTTGGCCAACGGAAGCAGTGACGTCGATAGCCGCGCCGCAGCACGCCGCCTTCGCCGCCAGTACCAGCAGCAACCAATCGCGCAGCTTGAGCACCATTATCACCGCCAACACCAACGGCCGACGCCTTCGCAGCAGGTGCATCACAACTCGCGCGGTTTTTTCGACGGCCCGCCGCGCCTCGTTTCGTCGCATACGTCGTCGTCTGCGGCCGCGGCGTCAGCTTCGCTACGCTCGTCGACGTCCAGATTGCCATCCAAGATGGAGCTCCGACGCAGCGAAGGGAGCGGTAACAAGGCCGCTCTTAGTCGTAGTCATGGAGCGCTGGGAGCCCCGGTGTTCCGCAGCAGCCGGACAGCCAAAGTGAGTGCGAATGCAAGCGCCGGTGGCTTCTCGCCTGGTTCTAGTGGACACAGCATCCATAGTGAGAGCAACAACAGTAGTGGAGGAGGGCAGAGTACGCCGTACGAGCAGTGGAGACGACTGAGAAGGGCACGTACTGCCAGTGGAAACAGTTGTGCCAGTACCAGCAGCACCAGCAGCTTCGCGTCGTACGTGGTGAATCCCAAGACGGGTCGACATGATTTCGGACTGGGTAGTGACGATGAATTAGAGGAGGAAGAGGAGGAAGACTTGGACAGTGTCATGGATGTAGAAGAGGAAGACAGACAGGAAGGACTACCGTCTGTACTGCAGCATATCATCGCGCCGGCGCTGCCTCCGCCACCGTATCCCGTCGACCCGTATCACTTTTACAGCAAGTCCAAACAGACAAACACTGGAGCTGGAACTGCTGCTGCAGAGGTGACATCGACTCTAGCGGCGCTGTTTGCAGACTGCGGCATTGAAGCCATCTTCCATCCACTCAAGTGCAAGTTCAAGTGCCTCAAGTATGTGCACTACAGCCACGTCGAGTTTGTAGTGCGAGTGTATGCACATCAACGCACGCTACTTGTAGAATTCCAGAGACGCAGCGGAAGTGTCCTGCTGTGGGACGGACTATATCGTATTCTTCACCAGAAACTGTCGCCTATTATCGACGCCACTGCCTTGCCGTGCTCGCAAAGTAGCGGCCAAAAACGCGTTGCGAGGGATAATTCTTCAGCTTCAGGTGATCATGTCCACGGATCAAACCAGCACAATCATGCCCATTCTTCGGATCGTGATGGTTTTGGGTCGCAGATTTGGCGAACGTTGTCACTCAAAAAGCCGACGCCCAGCTCCGGCGTCGAGGCGATGAAAATCATGCTTACGTCTCGGTATCTTGATGCAATGCGTGAAGGCTGTGCTGGTCTTGCAGAGCTCACAGAGGACGTTCAGAACTCCTGTCTGGTTGCCCATGCTGACCTGGTGACGCCATTGATTCAAGCCGCTGAAGCTACAGACCTCAGTATGTCACGATGTGCCGTCGGAGCGCTGGCTAACATCGCTCGCGCCGTCCCGCGGTTCCCAGATACTGAATTATCTTTGGCTCGTCGGACAGCACAGCAGCTTCGAATCCAAGCCACGCCCGTGATATTGGCACAGCTTGAGGATGCAAGTGAACGCTCACTGTTTTCGATTGAGCTACTCCGGGAATGTGCCCGAGCACTAGGCGCGTTTTCCAGACTGGTGTCGGAAGTTGACCCGCGGTCTGTTGCGGCCTTCAGTGTAAACGATGAACGCAGTGTACGCGTCCTTCGTCTTCACGCGAAACACCGTGATGCCCAGCTTGCATCTCATTGCCGTGCTGCGTTGGAACAGTTGTGTCTGAGCGTGTAGTAACTGTGTAGCATAGCTAACGAGTAACGAACGATGTTGTCTTTTATCCGTAAAACTGCAGCCTGATGGATGTACATCCTTGTTCAAAGAGTCCAGTGGCTCTAGCTCACACGATTACACTGGTGTGACAGAGTTAAAGTGCTCGCCTAGCGTGTAGTAGTGTAGGTGATAGGTCAGTTGTAGTTTGGGCGCGCTGTCATTAACAAACTCGTCGCCCATCACGAGCACGTCACCATGGGCGGAGAACACCTCAATGGGCGTTTGTAAAGCGCAGGCCAGAGCACGGAGCTCCAGTTGTCCACCCCAGTCGGCAGTATTCGCCAGTCGATCGCAATACGTCACAAACGCGTCTTCCGGATTGGCAGATGATTCATCCACCGCAATAAACGGCAGAAAATCATTCGGGTGTGCCAGCATGTACTCGCTCGTGAGTTTTCTTAGGTACTGGAACCCCGCCACCTCGTCCGCGATAGGCATATTCATCTGCTTCATCTGGTCCGCCACAGCGTGATACATACAGTGTCCGTCGGACGGGATGTCCTTGATCTTGAGGCCTTGTCTGGCCAGCTGGGCCAGGATCATATCGGCCTCGATCTGACGCTCGCTGACAGTGTTCTTGTTGGCCTCTTCGATGCGTTCGCGACGCTCGCGCTCCTGTTGCTTCTTGGCTTCACGCTTGCGCTGAGCTTTGGCCTGGGCCTTGGCCTGCTTGGAGGGTACTGCAGCCTCAGGCTCAGCTGGTGCTGCAGCGGGGGTCTCGGCCTCGTCTTCCTCCGTTTTAAAAGCCTTAAGCTCTGCGTCGTGACGCTCCTTCACGGCGTTTTCCATCGCCAAAACCTGCGCTTCGATGTCCTTCTTGCTCATTCGGTCCTTCTTTGCCTTCTTCTGGAATGCCTTGACGTCATTTTGCAGTGTCTAGGACGGGGAGAATGAGAGTTAGAACACGAGGCGACTTATCCGACGTTTGCAGCGCTAGAGAGAGCTACAGAGGTCGGATTCGGGAGAAAATTGCCTAAGTGAATAGAGAAGAGTTCGTACACGCAGTTCCAGCTTGTGGCGCTGTTTGGTCTGCCCCAACGTCTCATCCTTTGATGCCATCCTTGGTCGCCGTTTGTCTTTTTTGAGCCAAAAAGTCAAAGTAGGGTACGCTTGGGGTACGATACCAAACGTACCCCTTCAGATTCACGATCAGTAATCGGTGATCGTCGATCACTCTTGATGTGATGAGTCGCCATAGGACCATCTTGAGAAGGCCCATACTGCTGTGCGTGGACTTTGATGAGACTATTACTGTACGTGACACGACCTCGCTGCTCTTCCAGCTTTCCTCAAGCTCCGCTTCAACGCAACAGCAACTGGTGACGCAGTATGTCGACGAAGTCGGAGAGTTCATCGGGAGCTATGAGACCAAGTGGCGGCAGCGCGAGCTCATCTCCAGTAGAAGCAGAACTTTCGACGACGCAGGCTTACACGAGTTTCTGGAAGGATACGCTGCAGTGGATCTGCGGTCGGTGCAGCGGGTTGTGGAGTGCCGAGCGTTGGAGGGCATTCGGCACCAGGACCTTGTCAAGGTTGCGAGTAGCGTGCAGGTCCGATCAAATTACGCCGAGACACTAGCACTTGCCGATGACTGGAAAATCATATCTGTCAATTGGAATAAAAAGCTGGTGGAGTCTGTGATAACTCAAGCTGGAGTTGTACATGAACCGACGCAGATCATCGCCAATGGTGCGTGCAGAGTCGAGTGTTGATGTGAACTACGCTGACCGATTGTTGTATTGTTTGGCTAGACATGAAGGCGGATCAGCAGGGAGTGACGACTGGAGAGATCAATGTGAAGGTGCAGTCTCCTATGGATAAAGCGCGGTGGATTGACAACGTACGGTCGATGTATGCAGCGACCAAGCCTACGGTCGTGTATGTTGGTGATAGTGCAACTGATCTGCTGGCACTGCTTGCAGCGGATGTCGGCATTTGGATAGCTGCTGCTAATACTGCAGCGTCTTCTGCAAAGCTGTTGCATCAACTTGTGGAGAATTATGGGATTGATCTGCATCCGTTGATGAACTGTGGCTCTGTTGGTGGCCGTATTCACAACGATAGACCTGTCCTATATACAGTGACCGACTGGGCACAGGTTCAGTCAATCCTTAAAAGTCCGTTCTGAACCGGGATCATGTGCCCACCGGACTGGGGTAGGTGGCCGATACTGGGGCGCGGATTTAATTCGAGTTTGGCCGATGTGCGAGTCAGAAATACGAGTTACTGTAGCGAATCCAGCGATACACTTCGATATCTCTGGAAGTACGTACAGAGATGACCAGAATGTTGGTTGTTGAATACCTAATAAACCAAGATGAAAAGTCCAAAAAGAAGAAGGATCGCACAGGAGCTCAGAAAGGATGGGCTACTAAACGTGCCAACCGCGCTCATTCCTCGTCGGTTGAGCTCACTGTTAAGGTGATGAATGGTTTTCCATTAAAGCAGGTATTCGTGGCGCTAGTTCGTCAATCAATATACTAGTATGTTATTTTGATGGTTTACCGATCGACTTTGGTACCAGTCGCCACAAACGAAGCCAACAACGAGCTCTTTACAATAGGATTTCATCGTGGTAGCTCTGCGTGAGAGTCTTGTGTGGCAGCACGATACAGTTGCGGATAATCACCTCCGGATTGGCCACAACAGACACACCGAAAATTGTAACATCGCGTACTAGCGCGGTCTCTGCCGAGTGCACCTGGATCTGCGATGCATTCGGCGGCTGCCCTTCGACACGAGCCCATTGGCCAATGATCGAGTTCCAACCGATGACGGAAAAGAGCACGCAGGCGTGATCCTTGATGGTCACGCCCTCGAGAATGATCGAGTGGGCAACTCGTACTCCAGGTCCGATGGTTACACCTGCTGCAATCGTCACGTTCGGGCCCAACTTGGCCGTCGGGTGTACATTGGCCGACGAGTCCACCACCACGTTACCTTCAATAATCGGTGATAGTTTCCCTCCCGTAGTGCTTAGAGCGCTGGGGTTTGTAAAGCGGAACCGCTGCATGTACAGCTCCGAGCATGTGATAGCCATGCCCGGTGTCTTGATCTGGCACCAGAAATCGCCGAGTTCGTACAGATAAAGGCAGTGTTGATCAGCCAGCGGCAGTAACACATCTTGTTCGAGTCTACAGTAACCTCGAACATACAACAGTTAACCAAATTGCCACAGAAAAGCAACTCCTAACTGAAAGACGTACCGGAGGTTGTCGAGGTTGCTGAACTCAGGAAAGAGCTTCTTTAGATCATACTGCGTGTTGGCTTCCGAGCTGGACTCGCTGCGAAGTCTCTGTCGACTGAGCTTGTCACCAACGCTGACAATCGTGTCCATGAGTGACACGTCGAAGAGGTAGACGCCGCAGTTGATAATGTCGCTCACGAAGGTCTCAGGCTTTTCAGCCCAGTGGAGAATTTCCTTACTTACGGGGTCTGCCACCAGACAGCCGTATTTCTTGGCCTCATCGTGGAACACACGCTTGCCCAGCACTGTGCAAGATCCCTTGTGCTTCAAATGGAAGTGCATCATCTCGTTAAGAGGGAAGGAACAGCACACGTCGCAGTGCAGCACAAAGAGATGGGCAGGGTCTCCGTCCATAATCTCGTCTCGGAAGAAGCGGATACCGCCGGCTGTGCCTAGCGCCTTCTCTTCGCGCAGGTAGCGGATCTGCACGTTGAAGCGGCGCCAAACCGAGTCGAAGAAGCGCGAGAAGAGGCCCTCGTCGTACGACCCGATCATTAGGATCTCCTTGAGGTTGGGCACGCGCGCGCAGGCCTCTACGTGGAAGTAGAGCATCTCACGGCCTGCCAATTGGAAGAGCGGCTTAGGCAGGTCGAGAGACAGCGGGCGAAAGTGGTTGCCCTGCTGATTGGGTCCGCCGATGAGGATCACAGCCTTGGACGGAGGGAAGAGCGCGTCGTCCGCCCCGCCAGTTGCGGCTGCTCCCGACGACGACATGCTGGGAAGTGCTGCGAGCAAGACGTGAGACGATCGTCTGGTTCTCTTCGACGCTTTGACGAGTAGATCGAGCAGTGGCTACACAACGGTGTAGTTAACATGAATCTAATCGTATAGATATGTAATTTATAGATCTAGTGAGTAAATGCTCACTTGAATAATTAGTTTCCTTTAGAGAGGTGAATTATTTTCTTCAAGCGAGGTTTCGCTTGTTGCATTCCCATTTACACTGCGGACACCATGCAGTTCACGGAGCTGAGCGAACTCAACCACATGGTGGGACTCATGCGGCTCGCTGCCTGCAACAGCCCGACCTTCCATGATCGGCAGGACTCGGAGGTGGATCGCATCTACAATTCATCGCCTAAAATGGAGTCGCAGCTGCGCAATTCGTGGATCGACAAGATGACTGCCTTCAAGCCTCTAGCGTCCACCTCGTCGTCATCATCGGGGGGTAAGAAGTCGCCAAAGGGTCTGCGCAAGGGCAGTAGCTCTAATATCTCGACGGCCAACGGTGGGAAGGCTGGAGATGATGCGACAGCCAAGACGCGAGAAACCAGGGAGAAGAGCGTGGCCTCTAGCAACGTGTCGAGACGACGGACATCTACCCAGGCTGGACGTACCGACAAGAAGAGCAGCGCGGCTGCAAGTGTGAAGAATGGTGACAAAGAGGAAGGAGCTGGAGCCGATAAAAAGCAGTCGGACGATGGTTTCACCTTTGAGAAGGAGGATGTCCCACCGATCTCTTTTCACGAGTCGTCAATGCTGGACAAGGCCCTGAAGGGACCAGCAGCGGCAAGCGGTGCGAGACCGCCCATGATGGGAGCAGATGGGGGCGCTGTTCTGCATCTGACGATCTACTTGCCCACGAGGGACGAGATGAAAATCGATGTAGGTTTCGGTTGGGGCAGAGTGTGGGAGTTGGTTTTGACTCTTGCCTTGTGTTACAGTTGTACGACGTATCGACAGTAGACGAAGCTATTCAAGAGCTTTTGCGTGTGCATCATGTAGATGCTCGTCAACCGGCGCTGTATTACGGCCACCCTGAATGCTACGAGCTTCGCCTACATGACTCCGATGGCATTCCAGATGAAGACTTCCCAGGTTTGTTAATAAAAATTGCTATTCTTTGTGTCATTAAGCGCTGATGTGGTATTGTTGACGGCAGCACTGGATCGTTCGAGAAAGATTAAGAACTTTGGTGACGCTGGGGGCCACGAATACTGCTTGTGCGAGCGTCCTGATGCATGCCCTCCTTCGGGTGATACCCCCACTGGTATTGCACTCTGTTTGATGGGTTGTCCTTGTCGATTACTCACTGTGTTGTGCTCTATAGACGTTGCTGCGCCCACTGCAGCGGCGAAACCCAGTGCTGCTGCTACCAAGGCACCTCTGCCCAACGACAAGGCTTTCCTCAAGATCTTCATGTGCGGACTATCACTGTCTACAGTAATACTATGGAAAACATTTGCTAATCACGCTGTTGATCAGGCCGAAGAGCGACGACTACACAGTGGTGGCCATTGACGGCACGACTGTGGGCCAAGATTTGCTTCCAACGCTCAACAAAAAGCATCGACTCCAGCTCTTCCAAGAGCTTTACGTGCTTAAGATCAGTGAGGCAGACCGCGAACGTCTGGACCTGGCCAGCGATGAGATCGACATGCACACCAAGTTGCGACCGCTGAATCTGCACGAAGTTACACTCGCCACGAGTAAGTTGCTGCTGTCTAGCTATATTACGTGGGTAGTAAAGACTAACGAGAGTGTGTATGTTATCAGAAATCTTTGCCGATGCTCCCCAGATCTCTGCTCCCGCTCCGTCAGCCGTGGAGGAAACCGCTAATGTCGACAGTCGCTCTCGTCCGCCTCCCGAGACGTTTATGTTCAACGATGTTACAGCGGCAATGTTCAAGGAATGGCACGTTATCAAGAAGAACAAGTACGGCAAGAAGCAGCAGCGTATGCTGGGTATCGATCTCAACAAGATCTACAACCGCAAAGTGGGAGAGCGCGTCATCACATCGAGCAAGTCCACCAAGATCGTACGTATTGCTGTTGTTGTTGTCTGTGTAAAGCTCTAGTATCTTACTCTGTGCTTTTTCGCAGGCTGAGAGGCCTATGTCCGGTGTGGTTTGGGTGCGCTTCAACCAAGACCCGTCCGAGTTCCAGATCTACTTCAAAGACAGCATCGAGGAGATCATTACAGACTACACAGCAGACTCGCCATACGAATGCGGTACGTCAAATAGTCTGGTATTTGCTACTGTCAACAGCGGACTAATTTAATTGCACATCTTTTCATTCGTCGTACAGCCGAGATCGTCGCCAAACTCAAGTACATTCTCTCGCGTAGGAAATGAGTCAAAACAAGCACCAAGGGTTCCTTCAACGTCGTCGTCTACACGTGTCACCACTTCCGGTATTCTGCTTTACATAATGTGTTTTGCATTGACTGGTTGCACTAACAGATGAGGTGAAGAAAGACAAATAATGGTGCGCGTCTCAATTTTATTCCCTGGGTTTTGTTTATTCCAACCGCTGACAAGCACGAAGCCGTCTCCACGACTGCAGCATCGGCGCCACACAGCGAGAAACACTCGCTGACAGCACGCAACAATTCCTAGCCAAACTGCTGCTCCAACTGCCACACTCGCCACTCGAAGACAACCTCCAGTACCACCCACGTCTGGAAGTACAAGACAGAGAAAGCCTGGTTTCAGTGTGCTTGTGGCTAAGCCGCTTACACCTTGAAGCCACGCGATTTCCTGCGGCCACGGGCACGCTCGAACTTGCGGCCCTTGCTGCGGACGTACGGCTTGACGTGGTCGTGCGTGTGCACCGACTCGAGCGTCGACTTGTGGCCGAAGTGGGCGTACACGCCACGGGCCTTGCGGGCGCCACGGAGAAGCACCGTGTTGGTGCCCTTGGGGGCACGCAGAGCCAGCTGATCGAAGCTCAGGCACTCACCGCCAGCCTTGACGATGCGGGCACGGGCCGCCTCGGTAAAGTTCAGAGCGCAAACCGTGAGCTTGGGCACACTCAGAAGACGGATGTCGTCCGTGACCGTGGCCACCACGACAGCGATCTTGCCCTCATGCTTCTTCATGAAGCGAGCGACCTTGCCCAGCGACAGAGGAGCCTGGTTGGTGTTGCTCTGGTAGAGGCGACGGAGCACGATGTCGTTGAACTTGGCGTCCGTGCGACGAGCCAGGAAGCGGTACAGGCGCACCAAAAGGTTCAGGTACACATTGTCCGACTTGGGGTTCGTGCGGTTCTTCTTGCCGACGACCTTGCCACCAGCGACAAGATCAATACCCTGTACGAGAGCACACAGCACACAAGGCAACCTGTTAGCAGAAGTCGTAGAACCTGTATCTGATCGTAGAGAAGGTGGACGAGTGTTTGTTCTGGATCGCTGTCTGCCCGAGTGTCTGTCTCCCGCTTTCCTGCCCGTTTGTTGGCCTGCTTTAACGTCCTGTTATCTCTGTTACGTCCGTCCATCGCTCGTAGTTTTTTTTTTTTTCAAGTTTCCTCGCTGCTTGTATTGCCGTCAACGAGGGCGGAACGCGGGAGACAGATCCATTTTTTTGCTTCGTGATAGAGGGCGCTCTATTGCAGCTCCGAAGCTGCGAACAGTGCGACCAGAACGCCGAGACGACGACGCTCACCTCCACTACGATCTCGGCTCGCGCGCATTGACGCTGGCCTCATATCAATCGCCAAAAGGCAACGTACCATATTGCTAGTCTTAAAATTGAAACTTGATGAAGACGGCGCCGCAAAAAGACTGTCGACGGCTTTGGCCGCGCTCGGAACCAACCACGCAGGGGAGGCCACTGGTTGGCTGGCTGGGCCCGATGAACTCGTGCGACCTTCTCGCAACATCCATCATATTTTCTAAGCCCGCTTGAATAGCGAAATTTGCGCTTAAACATTGATAGTGTGTCGAACCTCATATTGATGTGTCTGTGGTGTGGCAGCTGACTGACGTAGTGGAGACGTCGTTGATCTGCTGGACCGCATCGACCGAGCTCCCCGCTGCGACCACGCCACGCATCGGGTCTTACACACACCACCAAGACCTCTAACCGTACACCGATAAGCCATGACGGCTCTCATCCAAGTCCCGCTTGAGTGCGTTCATTAAGTGGACGTCAAAATTGCCATGATGATTCCACCTTCCTAACTATTTTACTGCAAACAGACACAAGAAGGTTCCGATGCAGGAGCTACCCGAAGAGGTCGCCAAGGACATGTCTATGGTCGTGCAGGTCCAGGAGAATATCGATATTACGTTGCTACAGGAGCGCATCCGGGCTGGCGGTAGGGAGCTCTGGGACCCTGCCAACCAGAAGGACAATGTACCCGTGCGCCGCGCTGGTCACGACACGTGGGGCATCGGCAAAGTCGTCTTTATCTTCTGTGATGATTACCTCCAAAAAGTGTTCACGTTCCCGTGGTTCCACTCGTGGCAGAAGGAGCTCAACCCCGTCTTCGAGCAAATCAATGTCCCCGTGAACCGCGTTGTGCGCTGCATCCTGGCCTCCATGCCGCCTGGAGCAGATATCCCCGTGCATCACGACACTGGATCCTGGGTGCACTTCACACACCGCATGCATATTCCAGTGTTCACGAGCCCGGATATCGACTTCATGGTGGGTCCCAACGACCAGAACATGCAGCGCTACGAGCTCAAGCAGGGCAATCTCTACGAACTCAACAATATCAGTCGCCATCGTGTCAAGAACAACTGGGACCAACACCGCGTGCACTTGATCTTTGACTATGTAGACGAAAGCTTTCCCATTAACCGCATGGATCTCAAGCAAGGCACAACTGTCTGGCAGACACGTCGCTCGGTGGATCTATCAACTGACTATGGCAAGCGCGTACCGCCCTCGTTCGTCGTTATTGGAGCACAGAAGGCCGGCACTACTTCTCTATACGACTACATCCTGCAGCATGATCTCGTGTGGCCTGCTAAGCGCAAAGAGACCCACTACTTTGACTGGCGCTGGAACAAAGAACTGCCCGATCCGTCGACACCTGAGGGTGCCGAGAAGCACCTTCGATACTTCGAGGACACCTTTCTGGAGAGGAAGATCTTGTACCGGTTTCCGTCACTCATGTCAGGTGAGGCTACGCCCAGCTACATGCTCGGCGGAAAGACCGTGATCACCCGGATGAAACAAGTGATCCCGCACTGCTGCAAGATTCTCGCTATCATGCGCAACCCCGTAGAGCGCGCGTATTCTCACTACTCGATGACTGCAGACACGGAGGGATCCGAGAAACAGAAGCGCAACCGTGGCCATCATCATCTCCAAGGCCGCAGCTTTGAGCAGATCGTGGACGACGAGATCGAAGAGCTCTCGAAGCTTGGTGTGCACCCGGACATGTGCTTCGAGGAGTTTGATGAAAAGATCATGCACAAACGTCTTGCCTTCGACCACGGTGCTCACTCGTTCGTTGCTCGTGGTCTGTACGCGCTGCAGCTGTCGGGATGGATCGAGGCGTATGGAAAGGAGAACGTGCTGTTGCTCACGCTAGATGAGTTCAAGACTACAGAGAACCTTCATGTGCGTACTCTATGTTTCATTGCCTTGTCTTGTACTGCTGTTGCTAACTTGCTTATGTCGTGTTGTACAGGATACCATGGACAAGGTGTTCAACTTCTTGGACCTGCCGTACCACCGCATCAGGGATACGACAGCCAAGAACACACGCAAGTACGACCCCATCAACGATGCAGTTCGTGCCAAGTTGACGGCATTCTACGCGCCGTACAACGAGAAACTCTATACGCTTCTCGACCGTAACATGGGCTGGTAAAAACGATAGGTACTGCATTATTTCATTTACTGCTTGGGAATCTTCTTCAGCAATATGTCTGTTTCTGTTTGTTCACTAAACAATCGTCGTTGGAAGTCCATGTCCACTTGCTCACCCTTCCGTTGTGAGATTCTCTCTGCTTTCTTTACATGTGTAGCCTGTGATTTACACAGGAATACTAGCTTTTGCAGCTCCTGCACACGTTTCCGAAGACTCTCGTATCCACCGCTCACTAACATTGCCTCGTAGTCATTCCGTCGTCTCTCCACTTCATCCTGAAGCCGCTGCAATTTACTCTTTTGCTTCTCAATCTTCTTCGTCAAGTACTCGCAAACTGCAGTTGAAGAAGACTTTGAGGCTCGAGGTTTACCTAAACTTCGAGATCCCTCACCGTTCTGGTCCTTTAAGATCTGAATTGCAATTTGTAGTTGTGTAAGTTCTTGATGCGCTTGGTAACAAACCCACTGTTCTTCTTCTTCACGACAAAGTTCGAGGGCTTTCTGTCTCCTCTTCATTTCTTGAAATGTTTGCTGAGCTTGAACTGCGTTCTTCTTGTCCATTTGTCGATGGAAAAGCTGCGTAGCTAGCGCGTATTCCCACTTCGATTGTTGATCCTTCATATCATTGTCCAGTTCGACGTCCTGTTGGTTCAGAGACTTTAACTCTTGGCTTAACCTGTATTTGTCAGCCTGCAGACGATCTCGATGCTGTGTTAAGAGCTCCAATTCCTGCTCCTTACGGCTCTTCCCGGAGCTATCGCTGTCTTCATGATTGTTCTGAGTCGATGTCTTGGACGAAATTTTGTTTGGTATCTTCGGGTGTCGTAGTGATGGCTTCACGGTCGAGCTTCCAGAAGTTACAGCAGCACGAAGTAGGCAATCGCGGACGTGTTGATCCTTCTTGTTTAGGATATCTAAACGCAGCACACCCTTGTTCAGTGTGTCCAACTGTGTTTTCAGTGCAGCAACTGCTTCCTGAAGCTCCATGCCTTCCTCTACCATTTGGTGCTGCTGCTGGTACTTTGTCTGAGCCTTTTCCATTAGATAATCAAGCTCGACTTGTCGTTGCCACCGCTTATCCTGTGCATGCAGCTTATCTCTATCCATGTAGTCACAGTTTAAACTGTCTTTGGGTTCTGCTGCAGCCCAACTGCTGAATTTCTCGGGATTGCGAGCTCCTTCGTCACTGCCGAGAATATTCTGCAGCCGTCGGCCGATCGCTTTGTTCTCCGCTGCAATTTGTTGCACAAACTTGGTCCGATTAATCCCGGAATGAGCTTTGTGTCCGTGCTTTCGAGCACCATGCTGAGGTGGCGTCACTTTCTTCTTTTCTTGAGCTTTTGCGTGAGCCGATTGACGAGTTCGACGAGCCTCTTTCCACTGCAAACGCTTAGCAAAAGACCGATTATCCTTCGCGATCTGCTTCTCAAACCGCCGGCGATTAATACAGCTACTACTTGTTTGGGCAGGAGCTGTTCTCTTTGCACTTCGAGCCTTATCTTGTCGATATCCTAGTCTAGAAGATGCCTTAGAGGGGGCTACTTTGTCCAATCTTGACGCACTTGCCACTGAACGGAGTGCTTTCGGTTTAGTTTTACTCTCGTACGTTGGGATAAACTTGAAAGAAACAACTAACGTTGGGGCTTCAGCTCTACCATCATCATATAGACTTCGTGCCGATGTATTGCCGTATCCGAGACGCTTACCACTGCGCGATCGAAGCTCGAGGACGCGAGTGGTGAATGAGGATATGGTCAATAAATCCTGCAATAGTCTTCGTAATGATATTGTTGCCTGGCCGATATGCTCGTTCGCTCCATTGCGTGCACTACCATTCGATCTGGGGGCTGAAAACACAGTGAAAAGCACGTCGCCTGGAAGCTGGTGCCATGCAGGTTTCGTTCCAGGGGGTATGATTCGAGGAAGTAGTTCAAGTTGGAATCCTCCATCACCACTATCTTTGCTGGGCTGGTTGTTGTAGCTTATTAGATCTTCACTCCACACCGGGTTGACGGAGCCTCGAACGATACCAGTGGTTGATAGTGTTTCCTTGCATCGAAGCATGGCACTCGCATGAGTCGCATCGCCAGACTCGACAAACGACACCCTGACAAACGCATTGGGAGCAAGCGCTCGACTTGTTTGTAGCCCAGTAGCTCGTAGAACTCTACCTTCCAACAACCCTTTCGTTGGAACTGGTACAGCTGAAGGTGGTGTACTTGTCGAAGGAAGTCGACGTTTACCTGTTGTCTCGCTCGTTTTTCCGAAGGTTTGGGGCATCTCCGATTCAGCCACAGACTGATCATCACCCGCTTCGTCCAAATCGTCGTCACCAGTGGAAACTCCACGGTCCTCAACATCATTCTCTTCCCGACCGTCTTTACTCTCCAACTGATCATCAACGTGTCTATCCGTGTCCTTATCCTGCTGGTAGGTTTCCTGATCGACGTCATCCTCGCTATTGTTGATTTCTTCGTATTGCTGTTGGGTGTCATGTGCAACTGGAAGATCCTCACCTTCAACGCTATCGTCGACCTGTTGGTGGCTTTCGCTTTGCTCTATTCCTTCGTAGTCATCATCGTAGTCACTTCCAGGTGACGCTGGAGGCTCCATCATTTGAGGTGCTCGATCCGAATTCCTCAGCTCTTCATAGTTCGCAGCAGTCTGAGCCTCCTCTTCTCCTTCAACCAGCATCGGTTGGCCGTCCGATTCCCACCGTTCATCACCGTCGTCATAGATGACGTAGTATCCTTGGGATTCATCGAACTCTTGAATAATACCTTCAAACCACTCCTCCTCTTCAGACCAGAATACTCGAACACGCTTCCCCACTCGATCCATGATCCACGTCCTAAATCCGTTCGCCAAAGCCTCCAAACGTCATGCCGATCTCGAAACGACCCACAAGTTATCTTCAGTATCTTCAAACCCTCAACGACCCCACTTTAGACCAGCTATTCCTGTTAGAGTGTGCATCATACCTTGATATTCTTAGCAAGTTTCTTGTCCGAGACCATGCTTCCCTATTGTCTACCTTCACCATGGCTGCAGCTGCATTCACTTCCGCTTTCGCCTCCAAGCAAGTCAGCCTCATCATCGAGTTAAGCAATGGACTTCTCGAAGCGTATGAAGGATTTGATCCTTCCGCCGGCACCTCCGAGCATCAAGCCGAGTGCCAACTCTAGTGCTGCTGCCTCCACCACGACGGTGCAGTTGGCTCCTCCGGCTTTGAATGTCCTCGACTTGAATGAGCACAAGGGTGTGCGGCGTGCTCCGATCAAGGAAGAAGCCGTAGAACCGGGTGACCTGGACAGCGCACAGCACGTCCGCGTTCCCAAAAACAACCAGACCCGTGCCATGATCACCAAAGCTCTCAAAGCACACTACCTCTTCAGCTCGCTGGACCAAGGTGAAATCGACGAGATGATCGACGTCATGGCCATGGTCACCATTCAGGCCGGGGAACCGGTCATCTCACAGGGTACGTCGGGCAAGTGCTTCTACGTACTGGAGAGCGGCAATTGTGACATCGTGGTCGACGGCAAACTAGTGGGCACCTACACGAACGGCGATGCGTTCGGTGAGCTCGCGTTGCTCTACAATTGTCCTCGAGCGGCTACAATTCGTGCCACCACGGGATGCATTCTCTGGACGGTGGAGCGTACGACGTTCCGCAAGATCATGGCCACCACGGCTTCGGCCACGCAGCTCGCTCGAGTCAACTTCCTCAAGAACGTTGAGTTACTGCAACGTCTGAGCAACAACCAACTGCAAAAGGTGGCGGCGGCACTCAAGTTGCAGCGCTTTAACGACGGTGACTACATTATTCGTCAGGGTGAGGATGGCAACACGTTTTACATCATCGTCGAGGGTACCGTACGCTGTACGTCCCGTACGGGTGGAAGCGAAGAAGCCGAAAAGGAACTCATGACACTTCAACGTGGCAGCTACTTTGGTGAGATGGCTCTCGTGCTGAATGAGCCGCGCCAAGCGAACTGCATTGCAGTGGGCGCTGTGGACTGCTACGTCATGGACCGGGCGGAATTCACCAAGCTGCTCGGTCCGCTGCGATCTCTGATCGACCGTCAGATGCGCATTCGTGTCCTGCGTAGCGTACCACTGTTATCGTCCCTTACAGACGATGAACTCGACATCCTCGCCCATGCACTCAACGTGGTGGCTTTCGAAGACAAGAGCACTATTATCAAGGAAGGCGATGCTGCTGATACGTTCTACATGATCTCGGACGGTAAGGTGAGCGTCCGCAAGTCCGGGTTCGAGATCATGCAGCTCCGTTCGGGCGAATTCTTCGGTGAGCGTGCTCTTCTCGCTAACGAACCGCGTGCCGCCGACTGCGTTGCTATCGGTCGTGTGGAATGCCTCACCCTCCAGCGTGCAGCTTTCGAACAGCTTCTGGGCAAACTTGACCACATCATGCAGCGTGAAATTCAGCGCCAACAGCTTGTCCAGCAGTCCGTTCTAGGCGGAAGGACGGACGTTCGTACGGGCACGGCAACTCCGGCCGCACCTTCGGCCAAGAAGATCCTCTACAAGGACCTGGACAAGATCCGCACCATTGGTACGGGCACCTTCGGCCGTGTTATCATTGTGCGCCACCGTCCTACCAACCAGGCGTTCGCTCTCAAGTGCATGTCCAAGGCCCAGATTGTCGAGACGCACCAGCAGAAAAACGTCATGTACGAGAAGGGTATCCTGGCCGAGTGCGATCACCCGTTCATCCTCAAGCTGCACGAAACCTACCAGGATGCCAACCAGCTCTACATGCTGTTCGAGCTCGTACAGGGCGGAGAACTTTGGAGTCTCCTCTACGAGAAGGCCTTCAAGGTCGCTAAGGGAGTCTGCGGCGCGTTTGACGTCTCGGCTGCAAGGTTCTACACTGCCAACGTGGTCGAGGCACTGCGATACCTCCAGAAGATGACGGTCGCCTACCGCGACTTGAAACCCGAGAATCTGGTTATCGACAGTGCCGGTTACCTCAAGATGGTCGACTTTGGCTTTGCCAAACACGTACCGTACTACCGCAACGGAGCGTTGTACGAACGCTCCTTCACGTTGTGCGGTACCCCAGAGTATCTCGCACCGGAGCTGGTATTGAACAAAGGTCACGGTAAGGCAGTGGATCACTGGGCACTTGGTTGTCTACTATATGAGCTCATTGCTGGTCGCACCCCGTTCCAGCACAATGACCAGAACAAAATCTTCGAGAAGATTCTCCAAGGTCGCGCTATGGTCAGATTTCCTCCCAAGTTCGACCCGGATGCCAAGGATCTGGTCATGAAGCTGCTAGAGACGAACCCGGCGCTGCGTATCGGTTCTCTGGCTGGAGGTATGCAGGACGTGGTGAACCACCCGTTCTTCACGAACGCCAAGTTCGACTGGGCTGCGATGGTCAAGAAAACCATCAAGTCTCCGTACATACCCGCGATCAAGGACGCGTTCGATGCTGGCAACTTTGACGCATACCCGGAGGATACCAAGATTCGTCCGTTCACGGGCAGTGACACGTTCGAAGGATTCTAACTGCACAAGGTCTCCAGGTTAAAGTATGAGGAGATTAGACAATAATCTATGATGCAAAATGCTGTGTATCAATATTTGTTAAGCTCTTCACTTGCACCTTCGGTTTCGTAGATCTTGCTGCTGTCGTTGGAAATCAAGGTACCCTTTTGGGTAGATTTTATCGCGATATCCGGTCATCTCGAATGGTGACTTGCCGAGTTTGTTCTCAATGTCCTATTCAGATAAAGAGGTCGTGCAGTAAGTTAATCTTTACGGTGTCTTCGATGTTGCTCACGTTACTTACTGAGTCGTCCATCAGATCTTCCAGCATTGTTGAGATTTGGGCCTGCGTTAAGACAAAGTCAACTTCAAAAGACTGGACAATGGTGAATACTTCGTCTTACCTGACAGAACGCATAACTGTGGTGCAAAGCAGCGTTTCCGTCCGCATCGGTGACTAGCAAGTTGCTGTCCTTTGACCAACGATCAAGAAGCGTTTCCATGAAGATAGCGTCCTTGATGCCAGCTGCAAGCATGAGTGGGGTGATTCCCCACTTATCTGCAGCACACAAGTCAGCTCCGGCTTGAAGCAAGAGGACTGCGGTCTGCAAATATCGACCGGGCGCTGATCTCTTCAGTTCGGATGATTTTGCGTGTTTAGGACGCTCATCGTGCGGTGGCTCCAAAGTGTTCATGTATCCCAAAACCTACATGAAAAAGGATCAAAGAATTAGTTAGTTTTATCAAAAAGTGAGAAGCCTAGCGTTCATACTGCCAGATGAAGTGGTGTCCTCTCTGCTTGGGCTGTTTTATCTGTCACAGATACTACTCCAGTTTCCTTTGACGATCGTGAGGTTTTCGAGCGAGCTAACAGCAGCCGTCTGACGTTATTAACATTCCCGTTGTAGCATTCCATCCAAAGGTTCTATTACGACATAAAGACGCATTAGCTCGAGACACTCACACACCAAGTAAGCAGCTCTCACAGTTAGCATTTGCCGGATATTATCAGTTTTTGAAATATCAACGGGCTTCCTTCCCTGGATACCGGGTGAATCGATCCATAGTCTCGAGTCAGCATCCCACGACAGCAGGAACAGCACCATACTCGGATTTCCGTGAATTGCTAGCCAAACCCAAGTGAATATTCCACACTACACCATATGCTGATAGTTTAAAGATACCTGCAAAATGCAGCGGGTTCCACTTGTTGTCCCCCGTTGCAGTCGGATCACATCCAGCACGTAAAAGAAATCTCGTTACATCAACGTCATCGCCACAACAAGCCAGAAGTAACGGCGTGGCTCCGTGGTTGTCTTTGAGATCCAAATCCGCCTTGTATTCGTGAAGATAAGTCACGAACAAAAGTCGATTGTGGGATTCACACATCTCTGCCCCATTGTTGTTTCGTATTTTGTGTTTTCTTGATCGAACGGCGATGTGAAGTGGCGATCTTCCTTTCAGTGACTTTGCATTAATATCAACAGGTTTCGGCAATTCTACGAGTAGTTGGGCAATGGCCAGATGCCTGGCAGTTGCCTCGTCCGCACAATACTACCAAAGTCACGTTAGTCGAGCTATCCCTTACATCCCTACCTCAGTACTTACATGCAGAGGGGTCCATTTGTTTGCATCTCTGGCATTAGGGTCTGTTTCTTCCTCTAGAAGAAGTTCCACAGCGCGGATGTTTCCGAACATTGCTGCGCGGTGAATTGGTAGCTGGTGCAGACGTCCAGCACCGTGTTCTGCTTTCCTCTGTAGTTTAGCTAGCACAAAGGTACTGACTCCAGGATCACATGTACCGACTTCTTCACCCCCACTATGCTTCGAAGTCGTGAGATAATATTTACGATAGTCGATTGCTTCAAGCTGGCGCATAAGGACGTTCTCCATGACTCGTGACATATTGAACGAGAGCAGCAGGTCCACGTCCGCTTGGTTCAATTTCATGATCATTTGAAAGAACCACTTGACTAGCTTTAGATTTCCAGTCTCAACGGCATAATGAAGAGCCAGCTTTTTGAATTTATCTAACCAGCAATGAGCAAAGACCATTCAGCAACAAGACTCTAGCTTCTGAGGTGATACGCAGTTGGGGTACCTTTAGCAGAGAGTATATTGGGCTGGGCGCGAAGGACACTACAAAGCTCATAGTTATCGTCAATAGGAATCAAAGATGTCGTTGTGGAAATCTGGTGATGGAAAAAGCGTTAGGCTGAGTCTACTAAGAGGGACCACGTATAAGAACGTACGTAATGAAATAATGAGCGGCCATTCTCGTCCACTCTGGCACAAATTCTTGCCCAGTCGGCACACTTTTGCTTCGTCGTCTCACGTTGTAGCTCTTTCACTCGAGGTGGTATCCAATCTTTTCCATGTACTTCAGTGTCTTGCATCCAGCTGGCCATTTTACAAGAAAACAACAACAGTATGTTAGGATAATTCTACGTATTCCCAAACCTACCTCAATATTTGCAGACGTACGCATTCATCTGAGCTTTCTTTCTCATCAGAGCCTGCACCTCCATCTCAAATTGTGCGTCATGACAGGAATTCACGTGCTGGAAAATTAAATCCTGCACTAGTTTGTCTTTTGAGAGAGCAGCGTAGTGATACAGGGTGCGCTCATTCGCATCCACGATTTCAAGTATCTCTTGAGGGGATATTTTCTGTAGACATCGCTCTAATTGATCAGTGTCCTCCGTAAGAACCAACTGAAATAATTCGATGTCACTCGCCCGAGGCAGAAACATCTTTGGTTCTCTATGAACAGTGCAATACGAGATGTCAGTCCAGAACGGGGAGATGTTCTTGGATCCTACCTTCGTTGCTGACTGTGTGAGGCTTCATCAGCAGCCTCTGGTGGACAGTCGTACAGCTCCTCAACATCAACGGACGTTGGGCGCAGTTCAGTCGCCGATGGTGGTGAACTTGCCTTTTCCTCCGAATATTTTGCGTTTTCCTTCGCATCATCGCTATCGTCAAAATCAAAATTGTCGTCGTCACTGTCTTCAAGTTTAGTGCTGATCACTTCGCGTTCCTTTTGAGTTGTTTCGTCTTGAGTTGGAGCAGTGTTGGCGTCACTCGCAGCGACGTAATCAGCAACCTTCTTCGTCGTCTTCTCTGAATCACTTACAAGGGATTTACCATTTCCATCATTATCTGTCGTAGCAAGAGTCTTTAAACCTGTTTTAGCGAGTCGAGGTGATGAAGCAGTAATAGGCACGTTATGAGTATCGACACCATCGCTCCTCGCCTTGTCTACCTCTGTTGACTTTAACGGAGGCATTGGGGTCAAGGCCGTTGACATCTCTACCAACTTACGGGATGGAGATCCTCGATCACCATCGCTCATGTGTAACGCATTCAAAGCTTTGAGTGGCTTCACCGGGGCTGTCAACACGCCACCTCCAAGAGGATTTAATTGTTTGAGTTGTTTGTGGTTTGCGCCGACATCGCTCGCCCCATCAAACGCCTTCAATTGTGTTACCGCCTTACCCGGTTTACCTCCATCAGGAATACCGAGATCATCGAGAAGTTGTTGTTTTGCTGCAAAAGCCGCCAATGCAGTGGGCTTGGACAAATTCATCGGTGATTTAAAAATTCCAATGCACCGACCCTTGCCAAGATCCACACGACCCTCGTTAGAACATCGTTAGTTTCAAGATAAACCACTAGAGCGGCGTTGTTCAATGGCGAAAAAGGTTGGTACACGGATCCGGATTGATTTGGATTCTTCTAAAGCCTTGGAGTCCGAAGATGGAGCGGATGTGGTAGTGGATCAGGTCACGCGTGAGTTCACAGCAGTTCTGCAACTAACTCGCGAGAAGCAATGCAAGGAACTAACTGCCGAGAGCTTCGGAGGCGCCAAAGACGACGTGGTCAGTGCACGCCAAGAAGTGGCGTTTTACGGTGATATAACTCAAAAACTAGTACCGTTAGTAGATCGACTGATGCGATCTACACCCGGTCAGATCAACACACAGAAGAAGACCGAGTTGTTTCTAGTATTTGGTGACAAGTTCTACCAAGCTCAGGAATTCCGTGCTGCCTCAACTTTTTTCTACCAAAAAGTACTAGTTCTAGACGAGGAGACCAACCGAGATACTCCACAGAATGTTTTAGAACGTACCCTGGCCTCTAAAGATTCGCCACCACGCAAGCGGAGTCGTCTAGAGGGTCAAGCCTACGTTAGAGCACTCTTTGGAATAGCTATGTGCTGTTTCCACGCTCAAAAGAGTTCGGACGTATTCGTGAGGAATCCAGGAAAGCTGGAGAAAATGATCGAAGCGTTGACATTGCTGCGTCTTGGGATGGAAATCTCTGTGGCTATGGAGCGTCAGTACGCTGGCCAGTTCTCATGGTTAACACTTAACGGCTCGGTGCTCATTTACTCCATTGCGAAGCCATTACAAGCCTTGGGATTCTCGAAAGAAGTCGTCAATTATTTAAAGTGGAGTCTGCTTGCGATGGAATCGACAGTGACGTTGTGTACGACCAAGTATATTATATGGCGACTGCAACTTGGCTCAGCGATCTGCGAGTGCTACGAGGATTTGACCCTGAAAGAACAAACGAAAGCTGATCAACACGCGAAGTCTGCAGTGGCGTGTGCTGCGTATCTCCAGCAATTAGTCCAGCGGCTGCGTAAAGAGGAAGAGCTGGATATGCCCTTGCCGCCTGAAGTCCAGCGGATTCTGCTTCAAGCAGAGACCACAACAGCGATGTTAGCGTCGAGAGTGAAAGCCGCTGAAGCGCATCAGCCACTCACTAAAATTTCGATTGAGGCTGCTTTTCCTGCTGTGAGAGACCAAATCCGAGCAACGGTTGATGCGATGGAGACGTTGTCACGTGAAGCTAAACTGAAGCAAGGTGGGCAAGCTTTGTTTGCGTTGATACCGACAGATTCACCGATGAATGAGTCACTGTTGGGGCTCTTTGATTTCGTCATGATAATTGTGTCTCCCATGCTGAAGTCACTCGTCGAGGATGAACAAACATCCTCGACACTAGATCCTGCCATTTTTCCGGTATCCTTCCACCTGATCGCTATTCGGCACTGCTTTCAACTGGCAAAACCCGATGAACAGATGATTTTGCTCACAAGAAGCGCTCATGCACGACTGCAGGCCATGTCGGATGGTTTAACTGTGACGGATACAGCGATGGTGAAGTGCTTGCTGGAGCTGTACGAGGCGCTTCATGAGGTTCAGCAGTCTTGGTTAACGTGGGAAGCTCTATCAAAAGAGGAACGCTTGCAGTCGAACTCGAATCCACGGATGTATTTGCCAATGTCTGGTGGTACAATCCCCGCACTAAAGTTTCTGACTCGGCTATCGAAGGCGATGCAGGCCTGCGTATTTCACGGTGATAGCGCTCTAGCTCGAACCAACCAAGACTTACTGACGTCCGTGGCACTACAAATGTGGCGTGAGTTCGGGATACCAATGCTACAAGAGCTGGATATCTCCAAACCTTCCCAATTCTCAAAGCCTCTGGTACGTCTTACGTGTGAACTGCTGCTGACGATTCACTTCACGCTCACTGCCGTGAAATTTGAAGACCTTTTACTTCACGCGGAGATTTGTTTACGCTTGGCTACGTTGCTGTCAATACGGGGAAAAGCACGCACAGGCAGCCAAGTTGTGCGACAATGTCTTGATCGAATCGACTCGAGAAGAAGTGAGCTAGTGAACTTCTCTTCACACTTCCACTCCGTTGTCAGCATTGAATCGACCACGCCACTTTCCAACGCCTCGTTTTCCTGTGCCACTGGAGATTTGAGCTTGACTGATGACTCCATTGAAGCAACCAACGCACGAGATCTCGTTGGTGTACCAGGCACAGGGTCACAGCTCGGTGGTCTGAATCAAGATCTGTGCTGCATCCAAGTCGACTTGCTGCTTTCGTTGTATCGTTTGGAACTCCAAGACGCCACAATGATCGAGACGTTACCTCTAACCAATACCAAAGCTTCAACCATTACGCCAGGAACTTCTTTCCAAACGAGCACTGTGTTGCTTACAACTGAGGCCAAGCTTGTCGAGGAGTGCCATCAAAACGGTTACACAAAAGCGCTTCTCAATATCCAGCGCCTTGCTCACCCAAACAAGTCAACCAAAGAGAGACGTGCACTCGCAGATGAGTGCCTTCAACTACTGCAACAAATGGAGAGACAAGAGGAGAACCTACGACGCCACTTGATCTCAACTTCGTCTTCGACCGAGTCTTCAGTTCCAGCCGCTCCAATTGTGATCTCTCGCTCGAGCTCCGCTATCACTGTCCGAGTTGTAGAGTATCAGCCTTCAATACCAACACTGCGAAAGAAGCGCGTGCAATACTACATGGTATTCGCGAAACCCGTTGGGGCAGGAACTGCTGTCTCGCTCAATAGTAATCAACTAGCAGGAACTGCTACTCCTCTTTACCCGCCACACTTGAACGCGACCATATCCGGATTGCTGCCTAACGCGAGCTACGTCTTCGCTGTTGCTGCCTTCGACAGTAAGCACGAAGTCATCCAGTCTATCGGCGAAACTTCGGAACCAGTTGTGGCGCTCAATCCACTGCCTTTGGCAATGTGCTATGGATATCTTGCCAAAGCCTGCTATGACGCTCAACTCACTGGGGGTGCTAACCAGGCTGCGAAGTACCTGTACAACGCCGTCGCTTCAGTGCGTGCTGGTCGTCCGGCGTGGATGGCGAATCCATTCTACAGACAAGCTCTGAAGCGTGATGCAGTGGCCCAGCTCCCCATACCAGTTCTTAATCTCTGCATTCAAGCGCTACTCATCTTGTGTCACGACGAACCTGGAGATCTAGATCAAGATGGGAAGCTTATCACTTCTTCTGACTTAGATGCTCAGTCACTCACAGCTACACAAACAAAAGCTCTTGAGGACAACCGTAAGATTTCCATGGGCATTGAGATCGCCTGTGCGACGGACAATCAGGAAGCAGTTCGAGTTTTGTGCTTCAAAGGGTATCGGTTGCTGCTGCCCTTGCTGCACTTGAAAGGCAGCTGCGACGGTCTTACGTTCGCTGCTCTTGTGACGTACTACCAAGCACTTCATGTGATTCCTCATGACAGGTGGGACGTCGATACGCGAAGTATCTGTGCACGTATCGGTTTCGAACTGTTCCGAATCACACAAGAAGCACACGGCGACATCTCTCGAGTAACACTTCCCTTGGTACTAGCAAGACATAGTCACCATGAACCAGAGCAAACTCCGTCCGATAGCACGCAGAATGAAGAAGACGACAGCTTGCAGGAAGTTGTGGCGCTCTTTAAACTCGCTACAAGTGCAGCTGGTATGCCACCATCAGAAATGCCAGCGACTGCTATGGTATCTCCTCGAGGTGCCGGGGCAAAGACAGCAGCAGCCATCTCAAAGGATAAAAGCCAGAATAATATGCCTCAAGCCACTCCACGAACAGGCGAAAATGACAAAGCGGAAGCTGGGAAACAGAATTTGAACGACATCCTCCAAGCTACTGGAAATGATCTTTCTAAGGTCTTCATCACGCTTGAACAGCTGAGTGCTTCCGATCGTCGAGCAATCGAGTTCGCCAGCAAGATCTGTGGGGCCATTCTTGGAGCTGGAGGACATGGAATCGCTCACATCGACAAGTTTCTGTTATCTCTGAAAGTCAACGGAGCGATCAGCAGCCAATTCCGAGACACGCTCAGCTCACTTGGAGGCGATTCACTTCTACCAGCGCTAAAAGAGGATCCTCCTGTCGAAGAAAACCCATTAAGCAGTCGAGAAGATCAGGAGGCAACAACCAGCGAAGCTATTCCACCTGAAAGTACGATCCCAAAGACTGGAGCTGATGATGATTACCTGTATCGGTGGTGTGGTGAGCTGTTCTTCATTCAATCCGTATTGTTGGTACGGTCATCTGTATGTGGTATTCGTGTGTGTTCCTTCACTTAACGCTCTCCTTGTATGCCAGCAGTACCGGAAGATTGCAACGCTCAGCGATACCATTAACGAAGTGGACACAACAAAAGGACCAGACACCGAAAACTGCACGTACGAATTGCTCCATGGTGGTCACCACAACGAAAATGATGCTGGCCACACCAAGAAAAATCAGGACTCGGAAGCTCCGTCAGTGTCAGATGATTCTCCGACGGAAGTTGAACTCGAAACCACCAACGCAGACGCATCACAAGTGGCCCAACTGGATCAACTATTTGGCGAACTTCTTGAAAAATCGGCTGGATGTTGCAAGCTTTTTCAACTGGCACACTGTTGGCAAGGTCTACAAGCCGTAGCTCAACAGCTTTGGAACGCAATCTGGCTCGCTTGGGTGCCTCCAACTCGAATAAGTGCGTCGCTAACTAGACTCACTCACCTTTCAACGTGCATTGACGCACTTCTAGACATGATGGACTCGACGATGAATGCGACACCTGCCACAGCGTTACCCACTTCGACAGTCTTTTCGACAGTGGCGTACGCCGCGGCCAACGCATTGAACGTTGATCACACCTGGTTGGCGAGGCTCATGGCGTACTCATTGAGAGCATTTTGCTCGTTTCAAGACTGGAAGAGTGTCGTACAGAAAGGAAGCAGATACCATTCCTTGTGCAGCACTGAAGGCAGTCGGTTCTCAGAACAGAATTTCCCTATCTTGCTATACGCTCAGCAACAAATCTTGGATCATCAGGAAGCACTCTTAACAGCAGTAGAGGAAGAATTGAAAGCCTTCATCACAGCGTTCCAGGAACAAGAAGCCAAAAAGAAGAAGAAAAAGTCCAGACTAGTGGTGGAAGAAGTGTTGTCGCCCGAGCAGATGACGTTCCGTGCCAAAAAGCAAGAAATGGAGCAGCGAATTCAGAAACTCACCACCGAAAGAAATCTTGAGCGTAAAACGCTAGTCAGTCTCTCTGAAATCTATGACGGACTCTCCAAAGCGATCAACAAGAGCCACCAGGCACTCAAAACATGCCACGAACTCGTTGAAAAGTATCGTCGACACGATCAGCTCGATGGTTCACAGGAGGAGCTTTCTGCTCTTCGACGCCAAATCATCTCGTCTTTCAATCGGTGTGTGGTGTTGGCACGACAAAAGCGTCAAAAGCGAATCGTGTGTCAAGCTCTCCATGAAGTTGGGGACTTCCACCTCGCATCTGGAGACTTGAAAGCTGCTATCAAGAGCTGGCTCGAATCACTGGATAACGCCTTCAACACACTCAACGTTTGCTCATCGTGGCGAGAAGTTCTCGTTCCAGATGCAGATCATTTTCTTGAGAATAGCACCAAGGACACTATCGCTGGTGACGAATTGTGGGTGTGTATGCAGTGCTGCAACGTGCTATCGAAGCTGGTCATGCACTCATCTGGTGTCAACTTGCAGAAGGCCATCGACTACGCCTTGATGGCAGCAGCCATCTTCACTCGATTCTATGGTTGTTCGCTGCCACACCCGACGAAATGTTTCTTGTACGGCTCGTATCGGATGCTTGGACAGCTGTGGCCAGGACGCGAGTTGTTGAACGATCCCGATCGTATCTCTCCGTTCTCTCTTGGCATCATGCTCATGTTAGTTCCAGAAGTTCTACTTCAATACGACCAGTACGCCTCCACTGCTATGCCTGTGATTGCAGGCTACGAATACGTCGCGGAGAGCTGTCTCAAAGATGCCAACCACGTCGCAAATGCTCAACGACTGCGAGTCGAAGCACTTGTTCAATGCGGGCGCTTCCAGGAGGCATTTCAAGTGCTGATGAACTTGTTACGAGGTGGAACAACGCCTCGCGATAGTACCGGGGCTCCCGACGTGGAGGCTGTGGTGTTTCACGACAATAAATCACTCCTGGATGAGATCAATCGAGCCGCAATAAACTGGCTGATCTCGCTCAACGTAGAGCAAATCCAAGCCGGTCTCAACAAACGCTACCACGAGACGCTTGTGGTGCATATCTTGGCCGTGATACTGCACCTTGCAGTCGCAATGGCACGCCATGAAAGCAGATATGACCGTGATACGGTAATTCTTCGCCCTGTAGCCAAGAAAATGGCACAAACACTGTTGTCCTCCGTTAAACCAAGAGACATAACGTCCACCCAAACCTCCAGAAATGCTGAAGGAGCTGCTTCTAGTCAAACGATAGAGTCAATCTCGTGGGAGGATCTCCAGCTTCGTCGAATTCGAGCCGATGTCCACTTGCAGTTGAGTTATCTGGCATTCTTTGAAGGCGATTGGAACGCATCGAAGATAAGCAGCATGGACGCGATTGGAGAGTACGATGCCATTCCTCTTGGATCCGAACGACCGCTACGCTTGGCGCTGCAGAAGCTGAAGTTCTCGCTGCTCTATTCTCGAGGTACATACCTCGCCAAGTGCCGGTCACAAATTGTTGCTTGTTGCCTTGCACAGACCCACTATCGCACTGCACTCGAGACCACTCAAATGGCAATTGAGGAGACAAGAGTCACCGGTGAAGAGCACTTTCGCCAGCAGCTAGAGATGCAGCGATTGCAAGCTATGGTGTTTCTTGGAGAACGTGAAAAGGCTGAACAGGAGCTCTTCGCCTTGAGAGAAGATGCTCTTGCAACGCACACAGCAACTTCGCTCACCTACGTTCGCACATTACAAAATTTTAGCTCGTTGCTCCGTTCGAAAGCGCTTCTCTCGTCCTTTCCAGCGATATTGAAAGCAGTCGATGAACGCTTGAGTGAAGCACAACAAGTGCTGGATGCCTTGTTGGAACATGATGGCTGGCTAGGCGTTAGCTCGGATCACTCGTCACCTCTGGAAGTTGACAAGAGGCTCAACTTGTATCGTTCTGCCATCCCAGATTTCGTAAAACTCCACGCTGAGTTGGCTCAGGTGTTACTGGAGTGTCCTCTAAAGGAGAGCGAGAACGTGCATGAGCGTCAAAAGAGGGCGCTACGGTGCGTTGAAGTTGGTATCCGTTCGCTTGATCACACCACGCAGCGTATGCCTCCAACCAAAGCCCGCCTTCTGTTGTTGAAAGGAGTCTTGCTTTCGAAATCCTTGCACTCAACCACGACACAGATCGAAGTCACCAGCTCGATGGCTCCGTCCATCACACTCGACGATGAAAAGCTGAAGCAGCGACTCGAAGAATCCGTTGAGGCCTTTGTAGGCTGCATCAAGGCGTCAATCGAAGGAGGATATGATCGCCAGTTGGCTCGGTTCGCGTTAATTGAGCTGGTTGATCTGTTCGGCCGGAAACTGGTTCCTGGTGATGAGGACGCTCACGTTCAAGCGGCGTTTCATTATCTGACACTGGCGCTGGAAGTACAAAAGCACGAGTCCGTGCTATTTGACACGCTTGAACTGCAGAATGGCACGGTTACCTCCGTCGATAAGCTACCAGCTTCTGTTTGTACCTCCATCAACGCGCAGTCCAATGCAAGTGAGGATGGCCCACCGAACACGAAAGCTCCTGATGTGGGTGCCATCGTCAACTATTTCGTGCGCTTGCTTCGAATGCAACATATCCTTCCGGTCTGCACTGCAGAACTTCAGGATACTTGTTCTCTTCTCCATTCCTTCTTGATGCAGTACCATTCAACGTACGCTCGACTGGCTTGCTTAACAGACTTGCCGGCCGTTCCTACCACCGACCCCGAAATCCGCGCAGGGCTCGTGTGTGCTCTCTGGGGACAGAATCTCGCTCCAGCTATCGTGCCTGTTTCTGGAGACTCAACGCACAATACCAAACTTACGCTCTACTTCGCGATTGGAACGACTAAGGTGTCAATCGCTGACGACTCGCCCGCTGCAGGTAACGATGCTGCGATTGTGAGGATGGAGAAGTTTGCGTCTTTCCCTCTGCTTAGCAAGCGTTGTAACTTGGATCGGCGGTCTGTACAACACTTGAAAGCGGCGTTAAGTAGTCTGCGAACGCAGATGGAGGACGAAGACTCACTGCTCATTGATCGCAACGCTTTCCAGCAAACTTTCCACTTGACGTTGAGTAAGATTCAGCAACTTTTCCGCGGAGCCGAGCCGAGCGTGAAAGACGAAGCGCGCGACTCGACGGGGGTTCTGCACGATGCAATTGGAGACGCAATAATAATTGAGTGCACGTTGGAGACGGTCCGACGCCTGGAAGATCTGTTTTCCATCAACAAGGGAGTAAATGTCGCCGACAACGACCTCTGCTATTTCTTAAGAGATCTTCTGGATTAAATCGAGGTAGAGAGTACCTGCACGAAACTATTCAAGGAAATTGAGCAAGCCCTTTGTGAAAAAAAAACGGGGTTGCATTCACTAAAACCCCATTGTTGGCTCTCACCTGTTTATTCATCTGCGTCCATGGGAGGATTAGTCTTCTTGAGGTAGAACTCGTTGAAATCGAAGCGAGACATGAGGAAGGATAAGCTTTGGGATCCTCTACACAGCATTAAAGTGAGAACACGACACCCCCCATCTACAAAGCCAGCAATTTGTTTCTTACCGAATTGAGTTCTTCTTGACGATCTCGAGGAGTTCAAGAAACTGGGTGCTGAAATCTTCTGAGATTTCTTCGATCTGCCGCAAGATCTTCGAGTTGCTCCCAAACGTGTCCCGCTCTGTTCGCATCGTGTATTCGTCTTCCTCTGGTATTCCCCACGAACTCTGCATTACCACAACAAAACACGTTGGTCAGAACGAGAAAGATACTCAGAAACAATTCGGTAAGCGTACACCAAGCTCCTGTTGCTGCATCAGTTGTTGGTGTCTCTCCTCCACATGTTTTTCGTGCATCGCTGTCGTGTATAAATTCTCCTGCGCCTTGCAAAATCGAATGATTGTTGCAAAGATGAGCTTCAGCTGTTTTAGAAGATCTCGTGAGTCCTTCATCATAAAGCCCTACACGATGAAGCATCACGTGCACGCTCGTTAGTTGCTACCATAATCATTGGTAAACTGATCTATCCTTACATTTTTCTTGATGGAAGCAATGTACGCCGCGTGGCTTTCGATGAGCCCGTCTAAGTCATTTGCAGCGTTCAGATCTTTCACCAACTTATGCCACGCCGTCTCCAAAACCTAGAAATAAAGACAAACAGGTAAAGTTTATGAAACCGAGTCAGGTCAAGCTGCTAATCGAGCGTATTACCTCAAACATCATGTAATTGAGAAGATTCGTTATAAAGTGGATCATCTCGGATCGCACAAGTTGGCTCCTGTGTAGCACTGGTCTAATTCCCGGCACACATCCCTGGTACACAACGCTTTTAACTTAGAACACGCTTGTGATTTTACATGTGTCGTGGAGCGTACCTGAACTTCATGTCCAAGATTCATATCCTTTGTCCACGATGCAGACAGCGAATGCTCAACGCGCTTCATTCGCCACAAAAAGTCGAAGATTTGCTGGTACTGGAGCATCGAAGACGCCGGAATGACACTATTCACTGGTGCTTGCAGATTGTAGTGCAAGCAGAAGATGTCCCAACCAGTATCCGCTGTCGAGCACAGTTACAAGCAAGGATATCCACAATCATATCCGTTAGAATTTGTGCCGTCTTTTGCATCATATTGGCCCTTCACGTACCGGATGATCCCTGCAGCAATTCGACGTCTAGACGCCCTAGAATATCCGGGGACTAAAATACAGAGTAAACACGAGTGCAATTTGAAGGAAGCTTTGCACGTAAGAGCAACAAACCTCGAACTTCGCGTTGGAAGCATTTAGTGCTGTTTCAAGCACGTTTGTAAGCGTGTGACGGTATACTTGTGCTCCACGCTTGGACAATTCCGGTCCCAAAAGGTCCATTAGGTATTGAATAAAGTCACCCTGCAGACAGAAACATGTATACGGTTGGATACTACATCAGCCTTATGACAGCACATATAATTGAATCGGGTAATCACACCACTTTGTACCTGTCCTAGCAGCAAATAGCGCTTTAATGCTTGGCAATGATCCAGTAGCCGGTATTTCTGCGTCAATGTGCGGATTAGATACTCGTTGGTAGAGTTTGACACATTCGCAATCACTGTCTCAAGACGCTTTAGCTCCGCGAAATAGGCTCCTTCGTTTTCCGTGTCCATCCCAATCACGGCAGTCTCTTGAGCAGCATCCATAACCCACTACATTAAGAAGCAGCAGTGGTAAGAAACTATGTGTGGCAGATAGTTTAGACATACAAACTGTCACTTACATCAGCATTTCCACAGCACTGGCGAATGAAATTGATGCTCTTTCCAATGACCAGAATCTTCTTCGCGAGTTCACTACACAATGAAGAAGTGAGGTCAGTGTGAGCGTAGGGAAAAAAAACTGGAAAGGCTAGCATACATCGAGATGAATGGTGGCAGCATCTTCAAGTTCAGCGTGTATTTCTTGGCCCAGAACTGATCATCACTCACTGTTGGATCTGCCACCACGAAGAATTCACCCTATCAAAGCGCGCGTCAGTGCGTATGCAATACTAACCAGCAAGTCGATACTTTACTTACATGCACATCTTCCAGCTCGCCTTCAAAGACCCACCGCTTAATCATCCGTACGATTGGAGCAGCAATCTGCTTCAGCACTCTCTGAACGGACTGCGATACGTCTGGATCGCCATGCAATACATGCGAGTGAATGCCGGACGCAAGTGCACCGCCACGAAGTCCTTCAACACTGTAGCAATGCATCAAATATCAATGACTCCATCGTCTTTGACACACACGCGCACAGTTCTACCTGTCAATAAGGCGAGTCATTAACCGCATTCTGTCGAGTGGATCCTGCAGCCACACGATTAACGTCCGCAAGGTCAGGCTGCTAACCCCTCGTTCGTGTGGCTGTCTTGTTTCAGCATCCTCATCAATCTGAGCAGCCAGCACAGCAATCAAGCGAAAATAGCCCGCCAGCTCGGTGTTAAGCACATGACAGAAGCTTTGCCCCACCTACAAGTATTAAAACCGCAAGCGACAACGAATAAGCCTCTCGTTTCAACATTTCAAACAAATAAATACCGATACAAACCAAACCAAACGCCAACTCTTCACGATGCTGCTTGATATACTCCGAAATCTTCCTGAAGATCCAGCCAAGGTCACACAACATGTGGATCAGCTCTCGCATGGCTGTCGGCAAAGGCAGAACACACAACAGCGTGAGTATTAGAACCCAATTTGTCCGACAGTACAAACTCTCGTTTACGTGTTGGAACGCCGACGCTTCTTGTAATTTGGAAGCGGTCGGCAGCATCGTCAAAGTACAAATAGCGCGACTCGATGGCTTGCAAAGCGTACAAAACATCGCGCAGAAGAACCTCCTCCGGCACATCAAAGGATGAGCGTCCTGTAGCTCTAGACGCACCCATGGCATCCGAAACCAGCGCTCCTGGGTATGTACGAGGGCTGCTGCCTTTTCCTCGGCTCGGTTTGTGCGTTGGAGCGATACCTACCGCAAACTTAAACGAGTCTTCCAATGAATCCAGGTCCGTCATGGACTGCTCCATCGGTGCCGCATTCTGTGCTCCTAAATTCAGTGACACCACTGGCATCGAATGAGACCGATGGTGCTCTCCGTTCTTCTCCGACGCCGAGCTGTCAAGACTATCAGGCGTCGAACTCGCTGGACAATTATTCACACTTCTAGCTGGAAACCCCGGACGACTGTGAATCTCTTCACTATGTACTGGCGGCGGAGCAGTGTCCATCAGCCCGTACAGCAGCAGCAATGCCTCACTGAATTAACATAAACGGCTATTAGCAGCCAGCATGTGATAGGAAGACCCAATATCGACCGCAACGTACGTCTTCTTGTCCAGATTTTTGAACTTGACGAAGCGCGAGTAGACCTCGTTCAGTCTCGTGACTGTCTCCTGCGAGTCGGTGTAGAACTGTGGTGCATCCGCTGCAATCTTCCGCTTGATCTTTTCCAGTATCGAGAACTGCATATAGAGCTCATCAGTTATGTTTCTCCAGGATCATGTTAAGGCGGGACACGCACCGCATCCGTCTGTGGGGCATTAGACACGGCATCATGGAGCCGGACGACAGTGCGGCGTGTGGTGATGGCGGACGGCGCGCCGTGCACTTTGGCCAACAGTTTATCCACCAATACATTGATATCTCGCGGGCTCCGGGCACTTGAGCCGCGACGCGCGCTCATGGCGACGGCCGTGGCAGACGTGGACATGACTGGAGGCCGGCGGAGGCTGTCGCTGCTGTCAGTCGGGACACTGGAGCCGCGTGTGCGTGACGAGGACGCGTCGCTGGACACGGCGTAGCTGTGTCTACTACCCACAGAGCTGCTGTGAGCACGCGACGGCGGACCTAGTCGCTCGGCACGGCGCTTCAAGCGGGCAGCTTGCCTGTCCGAATTCATCTTTGAGCGAGATACTTTGAAGGTTCCTCGTATAGTATACGGCGTATACTTCTTCACTGCTTAAACACTTGTTTAGTAGAGGAAGTGGTGCCCGTTCCGGTGGGACTAGCGGAACTGAACTGGATGGAAACGAGGTTAACCGGACTCGGTGTTTCGTTTACGACCTGTGTCAATCTTTACAGAGATAACAATAATTTACTCGTGACAATGCTATCAATTACTGGAATGATGTTGGAGCTATGACACCATCGTTACCACGACCACTAAGCAAGTCTGGAGTTGTGTTGCTGAAATCAAAGAGTGCACACGGCGAAATGTTAGTGAAGTTCGGTCTGGGCTGATACAGCGAGCCTTGGTCTGGCTTATTGCAAACAACCCGTTGTATCGTGACGTCCGCATTCTTATGAGAATTAAGCTGTATTGGAATGTCTGAGAGATGACATTCCCACGGTCGGCCTTACTGAGGGCGAAGAGGCTGAGTTGTTGAAACATGTACGGAACGAAGGCCCTCGAGAGAGAGAAATTACGAGTCCTCTCACCATCACAGCGACCCCAAGATTCGCCCAGCAAAAAAGTTGTCCACATCCGATGTCATGCCAATGCTAACTTGACTACACATTCCGAAAATGGTTCCATTAGCATTGAATAATCATTTGAGCCGCGTTGAGGATCGAACAGTACTCAGACGGAATTCGAGAAACTTATAGAAACTGTTAATCCTGCTGCAGGCCAGACAGTGTATCCGTGACCGATTTACATTACCATACTGATCCAATCAACGAGTACAGTACTCGTTCATTAAGGCAAAGTTGCTTCCCAACCTTGTTTTCGAATGAAGAAGGCGGTCATAAACCTCTGTAAGGAATCAAATCTTATTCACGATTATAACCTAGCTGGCTTTCATGCCCACCTGATGAAGTGGCACGATAGACGCATCGTAATTTTATTTTTATTTGTTTTTGTTTGAGCTAATTCAGAGGCGGCAGATTGATGGGATAGTTCACCAAATTCGTCTTCCAAAAATTTCTTTTTTTACATACATGGTTGTTCTGATGGCATGATCAACGAGATCAGTACATCTATGCAGATGCTGGAGTCGCTTAAGCCACATTTTAATCTCTTGTCCCCATCCGTAGGGTGGTTAGGATGGCGAGCGTACCAGTAGCCTCAACTTCAAAAATAAAGTTTAGCTCTCCAAGCAACGGACACTTATACCGAAACGGACAGCGCTCAAGTCCAAAGAGCTAGTAGCCCGGCTTTTTTACTGAGCTCAATTTGACCAAGGGAAGATGCCAAAACTGCTGGTAGGAAATCGGGTATGTGGTAAAAGCAAGCGTCACTTAGGCATGACTGGTGTCATCCTTCGGATGTTGAAATCAAGCAGACAGTACAGGTACGAGGTTGAATGCGCTACGGGAGTTGTAGATATTGTTTCTGCTCGCTCAATTTGCATTGAACAAAGCTCTAACGACGCGGAGCATACACGTTCTGGCGAAGAAGTCTTCTTTGTGGAGCTTCTCCGGTCCGAAACCTCAGGTATCCAAGCTGTTTTTTCGTGTGAGTCCTCTTCTAGTGATGAAGATGAGGAGGAAAATGATGATGATGGCTTGGAGGGGCACTCAGAAGCCGAAGAAGACAATACAGTCGTGGCTCACGGTAGATTATGGGAACCATGCGATTCAATCTTGGTAGATCCTGCAAGTCAATTTTTGTCTCGGGCAACAAATTTTATGTGGCCGCCGTACTTACAGCTCGGAGAGCCGACGCTAGTAAAATATTTCTACCTAATGTACCCCATGAGCACTCTACATGAAACTCTTCGACTGACCAACATCAACTTATCGACGAATTCACTCCGTTCTATCGGACCAGGAGACTTCTTTCGGTTGATCGGAATTCGTTTAACAATGGCATTGGAACCACGCCGAGACCCTACACGGGTTTATTGGGACACACAAGAGAAAGAGGGCTACGTCAATACTGCAGCTAATTATGCATCTAGGTTCCAAATAAGTCGTCATTGTTTTGAACCAATTTTGTATGCACTTGCATTCTCGGACAGTAGTCAAACCGACGATCCCTGGAAACCGATACGTCCACTGATAAACGAATTCAACGACCAAAGAAAAAATCACGTTTCTCCAGGGAATATGCTCGTGATGAACGAATGTATGAGTGTCTGGAAGGGACGTGAAGCCAAGTATACGCACGATGGGCTTCCTCACAAAACAAAAATTGCTCGAAAACCCAAAGGGAAGTACTGAGCTGAAATCGCTCGCCGACGGCGATAGTGGAGTGCTACTAGGACTTGAACTTGTAGTAGATGCTGCTCGTCAACGTCAGAAGGCACATTTCAGTGAATTTGGTGAGGGAACTGCAGTAGTTTTGCGCCTTGTGGAAAAATACAAAGGAAGTGGAAGGACTGTGGTGGCTGATAGTGCCTTTGCCTCAGTGAAAACAATGGTTCAGCTGGAGAAAAAGCTTGGTTTGTATTTTATGGGCATCGTGAAGACGGCGAGCAAAGAGTGTCCCAAACTTCATTTTATAAATTGGGCTGGTACGAAGCCGCTACGAGGTTCCTTCAAAACTATGTCAAGTTTTACTGATTCTGGCAAGGCAATGTTTGCTTTGTGTTGGGCCGACCGAAATAAAACAAAATGCTTATATCAAATCGGGGAACAACACTACCTGGAATAGATAGTGTTCGTGCCAGACATCGCACAGTTGTTCGCAATGGTAAACTAGAGACACAACGTTATGAAAAACGAGTCAAGCGTCCTCGGATGGTTGAATTATTTTTCAGCAAGTTCTCAACGATTGATGTCCACGATCTCCTACGCAAAGGATGCTTGGCAATAGAACGCGAGTGGATTACACAAACGTGGATGCACAGAGTGTTTGCAACGATTCTTGGGATGACAGTTATAGACGCCTACAATGCATATCGGTATGAATTGATCGAAAACAATGCTTTTTGATAAGACAGTGTTGAATTTCAACGACTTTGTGTCACAACTCGCGCATCAGCTCGTTTTCAACGAGCACACAATGAAGCGGTCGCTACGATCTAACACCATATCCGATGGAAATGAAGAGGTAACTAATTGTACCAGCGCTATTTACTGTATTTCGCTGACATTGGTGTGCATTGTGTTCATCAGACGGCTCACACACTGAAGGCGTTCTGCGATCTCCCACAATATGCTGAAGCACGAACGACAGGTAAACGTGTGCAGCGACAATGTAGTAGATGCCACAAGAAGTGCTAGCACTACTGTGCTGGTTGCTCGGATATCCCATTGCAGTCATTTGTTGGTGTTTGTGGCCCAAGATCCCAACGCCCGTGCTTCAGTGAACATGTAGCTTTGCCTTCAATTTGAGGTTTTTTTGCACAACCATATGCAGGGTAATACAAAGTTTCATATAAAAACTAATCTATGCAAGCCTACTAGTAGGCTTGTACCCATCTACTGGTACGCTTTCGACCTGGGGACAAAAGTTTAAAAGCGTTAGAGGAACGGATCTTTATTGGGCTAATATAAGAGGCGATGTAATGAGTATGTTAGGAACCCGAGTATTGCCATCTTGCCATCACGGTGGTCTACATTTTTCCTTACATTAGCGCAGCAGATACGGTCTGGCCAGAATGTTTTAGAGCGTACAATCCAAGCTTGCCACTAGAGGAGGCACGTATTTGCGCCTTCGTGCACTTATCCACTCTCGTTCGGAATGAATAATGAGCTTGAATGGTTGACTATTTTTTCTAGCTGGCCTTATTTTATCACATGGTCATCTGTCCGGATTCCATTCCGGAATCTGCCATCAGAAGACGCTAGTTTATGGACTATAAAACATCCCCACATGTTCCAAAAATCATGTTCCAAAAGCAAAATTTGAGCTTTAGTTTTCTGGGATATTAGACTGGAACACCCGATAAGCATTTCCCGCGCGCGCCAGTAAAAGATAAAGATAGAGGTTCCGGTTGCCTGAGGCAAATATGCAAATCTCTGCGACGGAAGGGGAGCTGATGTTCATGGTCGCTGCCATACTGGTTATTGAAGTGCCTTGTGTAGGCGCCGTCCGTCATCTTATGCGCTACATATGCACAAAGTGGCTTCAAGAAAACCTTCCGGGCGGTTTGAGCTGGTTCATCGTCGCTCTAGATGGGACGTTATTTCTCTGCAGCTTCGTCTTGAATGCTGTCTTGGTGTTAATAGTTTTTGTGTTAACATGTCGTTGAGAGACAACTTAGGACCCGTCAAGTGTCTGCCCTCAGCCGACGCGACTTCCAGCGAGTGGAGTCTCTCCGTCCTTGACAGTAGGTACACTGTAATCTCTCTCCTCGCCTGCTCTTGGTGGAATGGCCACTCATTTGCTCGGTGACGTCTCTATTAGCTGGATCTTTGCCACTGGCCAAGCAAAACCAGCGACATTTCTTGTATGGTGCTGCGCTTGCTGAACTCCGCCATTTCCGATATGAGTCGCAAGCACGAACTGGAGTAGAAGTGCGGGTGCGGACAGAAAAGGAACTTGTATACCTACATAATACGTTAGATCATGTATAGCGAGTTAGAGAGGGCTCGCGTATAGAGGCATTGGAATCAATGGAACAAGGTTTTGGACTTTCATTGGACCAGCTGTCACAGCAGTTCTCTCTAGGTACGATTTTACTGGGAGGGCACCGTAACCTTTACAATTACCGTTGCCCCCCCAACCCTTTTGGTCCTTTTTTCCTTAATTTTTCAATTTGTCATCCCTTTTTTTGTCCTTAATTTTCAAGTTGTTGGAGTTAATTAGCGCCCAAGCATGCTAGTTCCTAGACTACTGTATAACATTTGTATAACCGAACAATATCTTCAAGCGGACACTCGCTAAGCCAATCATAACAACGCATTTCACGAGAATAACCTTAAGTTGAGAGATTTGCAGAACTATTTTTACTTCGTTCAGAAACGCACTAAATCACATTGAAGGACTATTTTAATCGATCTGTACCCACTCTCTCACATTTACCTGACTCTTCAAGAACAATGCCACGAGGACGAAAGCGTGCTCGTGGGGGCGGCGGCCGGCAATCCAGCAACTATCAGCGAGAAGTGGAGACGTATCAGAAGAAGCTTGAGGTGATTAACTTTCACGACAACAACGGAATGCAAGCTACACTAGACAAGTTCTACCAACACCTTGTACAAAAAAGCGTGAAAATAAACAAAAACGAATTTATGAATGGCTGAAAGACCGGGAGCGTATTGAATCCGTGTGTTCGTCGTCAGTGAAAGCTGGACTAAAGGTAATCCGGAAGGTTGGCACTGCAACGACAATTTCTACAGCGGGAGAAGAGGCTCTGAAAGAGAGTGGGTGCTCTCGTTGCGCGAGGAGGGCGTCCCCGTGTCACGATTGATGCTACAGCTGAAGGCACAGGCCTTAGCCGAAGATGAAGGTGTGGCACCTGGTATTTTTTGTGGTAGGTTGGTATGGCAAACTGGATTTTTAAAGCGCCAAGGGCTGCGAATTCGCGCCAAGACGAGGCAGGGACAGAAGAAGCCGGCCGATATGGAGGCAGGCGCAAAAGTATTTTGGAAGAATGTTGCACAAGTCAAAGAGGAGCTTGGCGTCGAAAAGGTTTATTACGCAGACCAGAGTGGAGTGTGTTTTGAGTATTTACCGAAGCATACTATCAGTGAAAAGGGTTCTAAGACTGTATGGGTGCGATGTGGAGGCAAGGACAAAGAGCGCCTCACCGGTATGTTTCTGGGAGACTCTACGGGCAAGCAATATACTCCTTTCTTGGTATTAAAAGCTCAGCCGTCGACCAAAGAACACAAAATTGTGTACAATCACATCGTTCAGAACGGGTTTAATACGCTGTGGCCTGAGATATCTGCTTTATCTCGTGAATTTGACGTGGAAATATTTGGTAACCAGAATGCTTGGTGGATTTCAGATTTATCAATTCGCTTTTTGGATTTTCATTTCGCTGACCATACTGAAAATGAACCTATCCTATTATTGCGGGACGATTTCTCCGCCCATTGGACCGAGGAGGTAAAGGAACATGCAGCCATGCTAAATGTCCATCTAATGCGAGTGCCTCCTGGATTGACCTCCGTCTGCCAACCTGCAGATGTATCATGGTTTCGTAAACAGCGACTTCGAAGTGAGTGGGTAGTAGAATTAACATCACAACTAACTGTGCACCACAAAAAGAAAGATCCGACTACGTTTAAACTAATTCCTCCCAGTCGACGAGATGTAATTATGTGGATGATGAAAACTTGGAAGAACTTGGGTGCTCACGTCATTAAAAGTGGGTTTGCTGGGCTTTTGAAGTGTCGTTCGGGTGGTAACCCCGATGAGCCTGATGATACACAAGAACCGACAAGTGTGGAGCCAGTAAATGAATTAGTGGAGGAGTTGGAGTGCCTCAATGCTGTTGAAGACGCTGTTAGTGACTCGGACGACATGTTCGAGAGATACAGTGATGATGATGTTGAAGCGGAATAAGTAATGCAGCTGCACGTTTTTTTATTATAATAATGAGGTTTTTATCTTGGTAGTGCATTTTTCTGTAAGTATAAAAAAACTACCCTGTCCGGCTATACAAATGTTATACAGTAACTCGGCACTTTTGGAGGTGATGCTTTTGGTCTGGGAGGACAGCGACTCTTTCCAATCAGTATTTAGGACATTTTAGGATTTTAAATTTTCTTAAATGTCTTAAATTTTGATTTGCTGTTACTAAGGTCCAGGTGAGCAGGTGGGAGCGCACGTAGCCAAAGCAAACCAATTCCGCGGGGTACCCTCAAAGCTGGACCGCCCAGTATTTGCGAAGGCAAGTCCAACAATGAGCTCGCTTTGAGCCGCGCATTGCACAGGTCAGTTGAGAGAATCCTTGTATAGGAGAGTTTTGAACATTTAGAACACCTTTAGGTCTGGTGTCAATTTTTTTGTGGGGTTTGTTTACTACTACGTCCGTTCGGAAAATATCGCACGATCTAAAAAAAAAAGTTGCAGCGCTCCACCTCGTTTTTTTGGGATTATAAACTGCTCAGAGGTGGCGGCGACTTCGACAAGATCTCGAGAATAAAAACACTAAAAGATCGTAGTACGCTGCAGGCGTGCATGCTCCGCCGCATTAAAAGTATAGAAATGGGTCAAAATGTGTAGGTGATGGCGGGGAGAGCGGGGGAGAGCGCGGAGAAGGCTGAGTAGAAGCTTGCGGAAGTGGCGGATCGATCCACGAAGCAACTGCGAGCGCCAGGATAGATTGCTGCGCAAGGCCGAAACTTGTAGTATCGCACTGCAACGATGCTGGAAGTTTTCCAGCTCGGATCAGCTTATCTTTGTGAAAGTGAGCCAATTTGTAGTCGTTGCGGCCTTCACAATTCATGATCTCCTTCATGACCAGCGGTAGCGTCAAGAATGTCTTGTTCAGCGTTTCTGCAGTCATGATTTCGCACGCATGCTCAACCTCCTGGATTATGTCTTGAATTGTGCAAGATGTTGTGCGCGACTGCACAGACTGAATGCTGGCGAACAGCCCTAAATCCAGGCAGTTGAGGTCGGGACTTTGCGCTGGCTGATTGGGCGATGCGATTACAGATCGAGACGCGGTCCACCTTCTCCCTCCCTCGCTCATGCTTGTGTGACTTGACGTCAGCAGCCACACCTGTCCCCATTGCGGCACTGCCTCGCTTCCACATTCGCGAAACAGCAGAGCGATGAAAGCCAAACTCCTCCGCGGCTTGCGCAATTTTTCCGTAGGCGAGTACTCCTCTGTTGCTACGAAGAAGCAGCGTCTCCCAAATCGCTTGGCGCTCCTGATCAGTTGCTTGTCTTCTAAGCATTTCTGCCCAACTTTCGAAATGAGCGGTGGGCGGAGGGAGGAAAAATGGGCGGGAGATTCGGATTTTCAAATCCTGATCAGATTGGAGGGGTATTCTTTTTGAGCAGTATTGGCTACATTCCCGATCGTGCGATATTATCCGAACGGAGGTAGTATAGTAATATTGTGTTCATTGAGTTCTCTATTTACTGTAGTAGCAGTAGTAGCAGTAGTAGTAGTAGTAGTAGTAGTAGTAGTAGTAGTAGTAGTAGTAGTAGTAGTAGTAGTAATAGCCACTTTAATTGTCAAGACACTACAAAACACGCTCTCTCAAACCCTCTTACCAGAGTCCTTAAGAGCTTGACTTTTGTTTTTGTTGTAAGCCATGCATCATACTTGCATTACTGTGCTAGAGTCCCTTCGTGCACGATTTTCTCTCCGTTGGACTGAGCTACGTTCGGAGCAGTCACGTGAACTCCGTCAAGATTTACTCGAGTGCCTGGTCGTACACGAAGTGCAATTCCCAGTCATCCGTGACAAGTACCTGCGGCTTGCGCAGCACGAGGCGATCACCGACGGCGTCGTACTGGAAGTCCAGCGCGCGCTCACTGCCCACCAGTACCTGCTTGGGCAAGTTGGCTTCGGACTGGAAGCCGTACACCACGATACGCTCCACCCACATGAGCGACCTGTAGCGCTTGCCCTGCGGGGTAGCAGCAGTAGCCGTCGAACGTAATCCCTCCTTTGTCTGCTGGAACGACACCACAGTGCCCTCACCCTCGAGCTCAGCAGCAAGCGATCTCTCGTCGTCGACATACAGCTCCCCACGAGCCTCAAAGTGCTGGTCCAACGCGACCACCAGCGTCAGCGGGTCATTGTGCATCAGCTCCGAGCTGCGACGAACACGCTGCTTGCGCGATGGAATTGTGCCACCTCGGTGGAAGACCGGGATGGTGTCCAGCAGCGCCGGCACATTTTCGTACGTCTTGCCACCGAAGAAACGTTTGTATCCGTCGGTCACCTGGTACCACACCGTCGTGTCCTTGGCGCCATCGGTCGGGAGGAACACGTGCGTGGCTTCAACGCCTTTCTCGACAATTGGTTTTACGAGAAGTGCATCACCCAGAAGATACTGGTCTTCCTCGATGAAGCTCTGAGGTTCCTGTGTAAAGTGCGCCCAAAGCGGACGCATGACGGGCATACCAGTCGCGTAACACGTGTGGAAAAGCGTGTAGATGTACGGCAGTAACGCGTAGCGCTCACGAATGGCAGCACGGATACGCGATGTCGTTGGCTCGCCGAACACCCAAGGTTCACGACGCGCTGAGTCCTGGTGAGAGTGGCCGCGGACGAACGGCTGATATGTAGCAGCCTGGTTCCATCGCGTGAGCAGCTCCGTCGACGAGCTGCCGAAGAATCCGCCCACGTCAGCGCCCACGAATGTAAGTCCTACAACCGACATGGACAGTAGCATTTTGGTGGCGTAGCGCAAATGCCCCCACTCCGCCGTGTTGTCACCCGTCCAAATCGCACCGTAACGCTGTGAGCCAGCAGAGAATGCACGCGAGAGCACAAATGGACGCTGCATATCCGCCGTAAGCTGTAGCTCCTCTGCAAACGCTGAGAGCGGCTCCGGGGGAGGCTGCTGGCGAATTAGCTGGCCCTCCATTGTCGTGCGCTGGAACAGGATGCCGTACAGGTTGTGCCATTCGCGATGCTCAACGCCAGCAAGACTTGTACATCCCTTCCGCATAGAGACTTCGGGGCCATTGAAGACCGACGGCTCGTTCATGTCGTTCCAAGTGTACAAGTGGTTTGTGCTTCCTTGGTAGTTTTCATAGCGAAATTGGTGGCGCCACCACGCGCGTGCTTTGGGCGATGTAAAGTCAACATACGAGGACTCGCCCGGCCAGCACCAGCCCTTGAAATCGTTACCTTCTTCATCTTTGATAAACAGTCCAAGCTCCTCCGCTTCGCTGTGAATGTAGTACGGCTGCTTGTCCTTTGGCTGACTCACCTTGATGTGCGGGTCGACGATGGTCACCGTCTTGCGACCGGTACGTGCTAGGGACTCCTGCATGTCCTTGGGCGTCGGGAAGCCATGTTCGACCCAAGTAAAATAGCGTCTTCCGTCCGTGTGATCAATGTCCAGCCACAGCACGTCGTATGGGATCAAATGCTCGTCAAAACCAGCATTCACACGAGCCACATCTGCTTCGTTCTTGTAATTCCAGCGACTCTGATGGTATCCCAGAGCAAAGAGTGGCGGTAGCTGTGCGCGGCCCGTCAAGTGTGTGTACTGCGAGAAGAGATCAGCACTGCTAGGACCGGCGAGTAAGAACAAATCAAAGACACCCGACTCGCTGATCCAGTGACTGGACTTGCTGTTCGCCTCTTTGTTGGTCCAAATGTCGATGAACGTTTCAGTGGGGTTGTTCCAGAACATACCAACTGTGTTGACCTTATTCGGCGCCACGAGCACAGGGATAGAGCCATACAGCGCCATTGGGTTGTCCAGCTCGTACTCGAACACATCGAGGTTATACAACCGGTATGGGTCGGTCACCACCTTCCTTTTTCCATCATCATTATCACTCGACTTAATGGTATCCTTCAGCACAAAATCCGTCGCATGCTCCGGGATGCCGTACAATGAGCGCGGGGCTTCCGCTGATCCGTGGAACGATACATCAAGTCCAATCGAGCTCGGGCCGAACTTCTTCTTGTCCGTGTGCCCTCCAAAGGACTCCTCCCAACCTTCCACGTTTCCATCAGCTCCGACTGTAGCCGTCGTAGTAGCCAGGTGCTCCTTCTTCTTCTGTACGGTGCCGTCAGCATAGATAGCGAGTCCATCTTCGCCATAGTCCACAATCGTCTTGCCCTCATGCGCATCCACAGCTGCTTGGTCCACCGCCGCTCCAGTCTGCACCGCGGCATCTGCCCGGTCCTGTCGGATCTCGTAGTGGAACAAACCGTCATCGTTGGTGGAGATCACCACCTCTCCGTCGAGGTACAAATCCACACCAAAAGAACCCAACTTCAAGGTGGCCACGACCTGTGACGTTCCCTGTGTCTCGGGGGCGAATAAAAGCACTTCCTCCTCATTAATTGGCGCCTTGAATCCTGCCTCCTGTGCGGTTACTTGGCGCAGCGGGCGAGTATCTTCAGCTGCGGGGACGAGAATGTCGTCGCTGGTCCAGCGCGTCTTGGGGTCTTTAGGATCTTCGAACTTCTCCTGCAATCTGACGCGGAGTGCCGGCACGGTCGCCTTATCCTCGTTAAGGACGAAGGCGAGAGAGCCAGCAAGTGGAACGCCACCATTGTGAGCCGCGTCCTCGACCAGAAAACGCACTAAATTGGCGTCCGACTCGATGCTAGCGCGCGCCACGCGGAACTTGCTGGGCAACTCCTGGCGCTGCACGTTGCGAAACTTGTTACAGAACTGGGTCTTCTCGCATGTGCGGAACTTGCTGCGGTCCACGGCGCTACATTCAGCGCCAGGGCTGCCATGGTGAGCAGCATGAACAGCCGCCGGCTCTGCATCTTGGACACAATTGAGCTCTACGTGGTGTGAATTCGAATGAAACGCGAATTGACAGAGCTACAGCAGTACCATGCTGGTATCCTGCAAGGCGTGATAAATAATGAGTGAGCACATGACTACAATTCGTGTAATAATCGGTGGGGACCGCTGATTAGTAGTAATCGATACGAAACTCTTTCCACGGAATCGAAATCAGGGCATAACGGTACGAGCGCGACTGAGGCCACCTGACGCCATCGCTGCTGTGACAGCAGTGTTGTCGGTCAAGGATACTGAAGCCACGTGTACGTGATAGGGACGCATAGCTGGAGACGGCGTTGTTGTGTCTAGTGTATTATAGTGTGCTACGCCGGACTCATTTAGGTAGCTTCTTTTATCTTATTTTTGGAAGCTACTTTTACTTAATTAAAAAGTAAATCGAAACTATAGCTCAACCTATAAGTCGTACTTATCCGGGTTTTGAAAGAAATTGGCTGCCGTTGGCTTTGGCACAATCTTATCAGTGGCCCGAAGCCAACGAAGGACAGGAACCCAATGGAGAACGTGACGGTCAAGATGGACGACGTGCAGCTGGAGGACGGCGCCGCGCCCGTCAAGAAGATGGCGCGTCGCGACCACCTGATTGACATCGAGCACGAGATCATCGCCAAGTGGGATGATGCGAAGCTGTTCGAGTCTGACCCGGATCCGAGCAAGCCCAAGTACATGGTTACGTTCCCGTACCCGTACATGAACGGCTACATGCACGTGGGTCACCTGTTTACGCTTATGAAGGTCGAGTTCGCTTCTCGCTACCACCGTCTCAAGGGCGAGAACGTCATCTTCCCCTTCGGTTTCCACTGCACGGGTATGCCCATCCAAGCCGCCGCCAACAAGCTCAAGCGCGAGCTTGCGGAGTACGGCAACCCGCCCAACTTCTCGCGTGACATCGAGGAAGAAGCCAAGCCCAAGTCCGCCGGAGACTCGCTCAACAAGGCCCACGGTAAGAAGTCCAAGGCTGTAGCCAAGTCGGGCGGTGTCGTGCACCAGTACGACATCCTCAAGATCTCAAACATCCCGGAGGAAGAGATCCCCAAGTTCCACGATCCTCTCTACTGGCTGCAATACTTCCCTCCTCACGCTATCGCTGATCTTAAGCGCTTCGGTATGAACATCGACTGGCGTCGCTCGTTCATCACTACGGACGTGAACCCTTTCTACGATGCCTTCGTCACGTGGCAGCTCAACAAGCTCAACGAGCAGAAGCGTGTTGTGCGCGGTAAGCGTCCCAATGTCTACTCCATCCTGGACGGACAGAGCTGCGCCGACCACGACCGCGCCTCTGGTGAAGGTGTGGGTCCCCAGGAGTACACGCTGGTCAAGCTGCGTGTGCAGGATCCGCTACCGGAGAAGCTGGCTGCTCTCGCCGGCAAAAATCTGTACCTGGCTGCTGCTACGCTGCGTCCCGAGACGCTGTACGGCCAGACCTGCTGCTACGTGCTGCCTGAGGGCGACTACGGCGCGTTCCTCATCAACGACGACAACGACGTGTTCGTGATGAGCCGCCGTGCTGCCCGCAACCTGGCGCACCAGGAGTACTCGCGTGTATGGGGCAAGGAAGAGTGCCTGCTCGAGATGAAGGGCCACGACCTGCTCGGCTTGGCGCTGTCGTCGCCCAACGCGCCGTACGACACGATCTACACGCTGCCGCTGCTCACCATCTCTATGGGCAAGGGTACGGGTGTGGTTATGTGCGTGCCGTCGGACTCGCCCGATGACTTTGCTGCCTTCCGTGACCTTAAGCAGAAGGCCGCTCTGCGTGAGAAGTACGGCATTGAGGACCACATGGTGCTTCCCTATGACCCTGTGCCTATTATCGAGATCCCGGGCTTCGGTGACATGGCTGCCGAGAAGGTCTGCAACGACCTGAAGATCGTGTCGCAGAACGACAAGGATAAGCTGGCCAAGGCCAAGGAGCTCGTGTACCTCAAGGGTTTCTACGAAGGTGTACTCCTTGTGGGCTCGCAGAAGGGTCAGAAGGTGTGCGATGCCAAGACCGTCATGCGCCAGGAGCTGCTCGACGCTGGCTACGCTATCCCGTACTGGGAGCCGGAGTCGCTTGTGATGTCTCGCAGTGGCGACGAGTGCGTGGTTGCTCACCTGGACCAATGGTACCTCACCTACGGCGCCGAGGACTGGAAGAAGCGCGTAATGGACCACATCAGCGACCCCAAGAGCTTCGACGCTTACAATCCGGTGGCTCTTGGTGAGTACAAGTCTACGCTCGGATGGCTGAAGGAGTGGGCGCCGTGCCGCCAGTCTGGTCTGGGCACGCGTCTTCCCTGGGACCCGGAGTTTGTGGTGGAGTCGCTTACGGACTCGACCATCTACATGGCTTACTACACCATCGCACACCACCTGCAGGCCAACCTGGACGGCTCGAAGCTGGGCCCACACGGCATTAAGCCCGAGCAGATGACCAAGGAGGTGTTCGACTACATCTTCTTGAAGTCGTCGCCGCCCACGGAGTCGACGATCCCGTTGGCTGTGCTTAAGCAGATCCGCGATGAGTTCGAGTACTGGTACCCCGTTGACGTCCGTGCGTCCGGCAAGGACTTGATCCGTAACCACTTGACCATGTGCCTGTACAACCACGCCGAGATCTGGCGTGACGACCCGTCCAAGTGGCCGCGTGGCTTCTTCACGAACGGCCACGTGCAGGTGGACGGTAAGAAGATGTCCAAGTCTCTGGGTAACTTCTTGACGCTCAAGGACTGCGCCACTGAGTTCGGTGCCGATGCCACCCGTTTTGCTTGCGCTGACGCCGGTGACGGCATGGACGACGCCAACTACGCTCTGGACACGTGCCGTATGGCCATCCTGCGTCTCACTACCGAGGAGGAGTGGATCAAGCGTGTGGTGGAGGACAAGGCGTCGCTGCGCACGGGCGAGCTCAACTTCAACGACAAGGTGTTCCTGAACCAGATGAACAACCTCATCAGCGCCACGACTTCGTTCTACGAGCGTCTCCAGTGGCGTGAGGGTCTCCACACGGGCTTCTTCGAGTACCAGATTGCTCGTGACTCATACCGTGACATATGCGCCCGTAGCGAGGTGCCGATGCACCACGACGTTATCATGCGCTTCATCGAGTCGCAGCTAGTCATCCTTGCTCCCATCTGTCCGCACTTCTGCGAGTACATGTGGACCGCTATTGGCAAGGAGGGCTTCGTGTCGGTGGCTTCCTGGCCGGTGGCTGAGGAGGTCGACCACGGCCTGCTGCGTGCCGGTGACTTCCTGAACAAGGTGACTCGTAGCTTCCGTGAGGCTCTTGCTAAGAGCGGCAGCAAGAAGAAGGGCAAGAAGGGCGCTGCACCGGCCGAGCCGGCCAAGAAGCCTACGCACGCCCAGGTGTACCTGACTACGGAGTTCCCGGAGTGGCAGCAGAAGGTGCTCGTGTTTATGGATGGTCTGTTTGATGACGCGACGAAGCAGTTCCCCGCTGACTTTATGAAGCAACTGAAGGGCGAGATCACCAAGGACGATTCGCTGAAGAAGCTTACGAAGAACGTGATGCAGTTCGCTGCCTTCGTCAAGGCGGAGGCTGAGCTGCGTGGCCGTGAGGCTCTGGAGCTGAGGTACGCTGGCTGTGTACTATTTCCATTGCTGAATGGGTCATTCATGTTATTGTTTCGTGACTGTTATGATGATACAGGATGCCGTACGACCAGAAGAGCGTGCTTGCCTCTAACAAGCTGTACCTCTGCCGGTCGCTGGACCTCCAAGACATCGAGGTAAGATGGCTGCAGCGAGGTGGCTTGGTGAAGTATGCGGTTCTTACGGGTGTTATTTCTTTGTTCCAGTTCTACTACGTGGGTGAGGAGATCCCGAACGCGGACGCGAAGAAGATGGAGACGGCGTCACCTGGTAAGCCTGCCATCTACATCTTCGCCCAGTAAGGTCGTTGCAGTAGTATTGTGCTTCTTTGCATTAGATTGGCGGTGATAAGAGGGTATTCTGTTCTCCATCGTGCTAGATAAGACAGCAAGTATGCAAGTCATACATGTACCTTGCATTAAGTAGTGTATGCTGCTTCCCCTTGTGCGTCTCCTAACTCTTGCTCCGACATGAACCGAAAAGAATGGAAAGCTTGAAACTGGAATTACCATTACTACACGAGCTGCAGACCCCGCTATTCGCTCTTCCATCTCCAACTGATCCTTTCCTTGCTTCCTTTTCCTCTTCGCTGCAGCGACACGAGGCGAACTGGACGGGGATATGTATCTATTCGGAGTCGGCGATCTCGATCCGGCTGCCACGGCGGATCTGGCCCCAACCGATGAGACGCCAATGCTTGTCAATTCGGCGACTGATGGCAATCTTCTCTCCCTCCTGCGTGCACACGGGGACCGTGAGCAGAATCTTGGCCAGATCCTGCTTCACAGCCAGCACCTTGCCACCCGTGGCGGTGGAGCCAATGTTCACCATAAGCACCTCGGCCTTCGACAGCTTCTGCACCTTGGAGGCCTTGCTACCTTCCTGAGTCTTGACACCCAGCAGACGCTTGAGCAGGTAGAAGTTGATTTCCAGCTCCGTGAACACGTGCGGCAGACTGCCCTTGAGACCCAGCACCTGACCCACCAGACGATCCGAACGCGTGAGCGTGGGGTCAATGTGCGTTCCTACACCGATCAGTCCACCGGGGACAGCGAACTGCAGGTCGTTCTTCTCAGCGTACAGCGACACAATGCGCGAGAAGATGGGCACACACGTCATCTTACCTTCCTCGTCCTTGCTCACGATACCCGGGCGCACCTCGATCTCGTCGCCCACACGCAGCACACCTTCCAGAATAGAGCCACCAGCGACACCACCCTTGAGGTTCTCGACGTCCTCACCGGGCTTGTTGACATCGAACGAACGGATGACAATGAGCTTGGGCTTGGACGTGAAGTCGCGCTTGGGGATGGGGATGTTGCGGCAAATGTACTCGCACACAACGTCCACGTTGTACTTGAGCACGGCCGAGATAGGGATAATGGGCGCGTCGTGGGCCACCGTACCGGCCACGAACTTCTTGATCTGCTCATGCTGAGCCACGGCCGCGTCCTCCTTGATGAGATCCACCTTGTTCTGCAGGATGATGATGTTCTGAAGTCGCATGATCTCAATAGCAGCCAAGTGCTCGGACGTCTGCGGCTGCGGACACACCTCGTTGCCTGCAACCAGCAGCAGAGCGGCGTCCATGACGGCGGCACCGTTAAGCATCGTAGCCATGAGAATGTCGTGACCAGGGCAGTCCACGAACGACACGTGACGCTGCAGCACCCACGTCATCTTCTCATCGTTCTCGTCCACGAAGCGGTCAGGCTTGGAGCTGCCAAAGGCGCGGTAGCAGCCGATGCCTGTGCCGTTCTCAGCGCGGTAGATCTTGGCGTTGGCATAGCCGAGCTTGATGGTAATGTTACGCTCCAGCTCGTTCTTGAAACGCACCGTCTGCACGCCCGAAATGGCCTTCACCACTGTAGACTTACCGTGGGCGACGTGACCAATAGTACCGATGTTAATGGTGGCCTAATAGCAACAAATATTAGTTAGAAGCCTCTAGTTGTCGGATTTTCGGGTTATATACACATACCTGACGACTAATGACCTCCGGGGTGAGCGGAGTGAGCTCCTCGATCTTGAGCTTGGTCAGATCCTGCACCGCCAGGTGCTTCTGTACGAGTTCCGGCATGATGGATAGATAAACGGGGTGGGGAGTCTCCTAGTCTGCGGCATTCAGTACACAAAGAGCAGTATTTAGCACTTCAGACTCCGTAGCCACATGCGTACTGGGCCACCGTATGATTTGTGAGCATCCTGCGGCCCTTCCTACATGCTATGGGCGTCGTGGCGCCGGCCTCACCTGTCCGAAGAATCTGCCTCTAGCAAAGCCACTGGACGCCAAAGGGGAAGCGGAAGCGTGGTGGATGCCAGGAAAAATCTGCTGGCAGGCAAGACGTGAGCAGTCATTTCAGGACATGTAATGTGGCGCACACCATTTATGTTCGGCCGTTTTTTATTTTTGAGCATGAAGCGACGTTTATCGCTTCAACTTTGAATTAATATTCCAGGGTAGGCTGTCATGGCGGGCGGCGCTAGCAACACCAGCAGCGCGCCGGGGCTCATCCATCGGTAAGGAATTGCACTGAACTAGTGCGCTATGGTGTTGACTCTTTCTAACGCTAAACACCAAACGTGTAGCCACTTTTTCGGGCTCAAGGGAAGTGTTCACAACAATGTCGCGTTTGCGGAGGAGAGCGTGCTCGTGTATCCGTGCGGCCACAACGTCATTATTTACAATCTCGAGTCTAAGGAGCAGCAGTTTATACATGGCGTTGAGACTACGGGACGTGGCATCACGGCGCTTGCCGTGGCGCCTAACAAACGCTACGTCGCTGTGGCGGAACAGGCCGAGCGCGCAGTGGTGCACATCCACGACCTGAATACGCTGCGGCGACGCAGGACGCTGACGCTTAGTGACGGACTGGCGGACACTTTTGTCTGGGTGGCCTTCTCAGGTGACAGCAAGTACTGCGTCACGCAGGGTGGCGCGCCGGATTGGGTTCTTTCGCTCTGGCTGTGGGAGAAGACCAAACTACTTGCGAGTGTCAAAGCCTCGACACCACAAGGCAACGCAGTGCACCAGGCAGATTTTAGTCCAGTTGACCCTTTCACAGTGTGTGTGAGTGGCAACGGACTCCTCAAGTTCTTCCGGTTCGCAGACGGACAGCTGAGACTGCAGGCCACGCCGCTGAAAAGGGAGCCCGCGCACTTCTTACGCCATGCTTGGGTCTCAGACGACCGCGTCGTCGCAGCTGCAGACTCGGGGGAATTGTGGTTATTCGAACAGTTTGAGTTTAGACAGATTTTGACGCCGGCAACGACTGGTACCACGGGAGATGGCAGCTTTGTGAGCTCCTTGCTGGGCTACTCAAAGGGCTTCGTTTGTGGAGGATCGGGAGGTTGTGTGCGCATTTACGATCGAAGCGACGACGGTGGATCGCGCGAGTACTACAAAAAGGCAAAGACTTTTCGAATCGAGGGCGATGCCAGCACAATCAAGGACTTGGCTATCAGTCCAAGTGAAGATCTGCTCGTGTGTTCGCTTGACAACAACCAGATGTACGCACTGACACTGTCGAGCACCGATATCCTCAAGGAAGATGCCATGAATTTCGAGGTCGTCTCGACAGCTTTCCATGCACCGAGTAGCAATGGGAGCTGCCATATCACTGGTCTCGATACGTGCATTCGCAAGCCGTTAGTAGTAACTTGTGCACTCGATCGATCTGTGCGCGTATGGAATTACCTGGACAAGTCAACCGATATCCTCAAGTTTTTCCGTGAAGACGCACTTTGTGTGGCCTTCCACCCATCGGGCTTGCACGTCGCAGTGGGCTTTACTGACAAGCTGCGAATGCTCAACGTACTCATGGATGACATTCGCTCTTGTCGTGAGTTTACTATCAAAGGTTGTCGCGAGGTGCGCTTCTCGAATGGTGGTCAATTCTTCGCTGCAGCAAACAGCAACGTCGTCCACGTGTATGCTACATACACGGGCGAGTTGGTGTCCGTGCTTCGTGGGCATTCGAATCGTGTGACGGCTATCTCATGGAAATCTGACGACCGGAAGCTGCTAACCTGTGGCGCTGATGGTACAGTGTTATTGTGGAGCTTACGTTCAGCGTCTAAAGTTGGTGATGGTCACTCGCAGGCACGTTGCTCGTACATTGATGCTGCGCTATCTCCTGAAGGAGATGTAGCGTACGTAACAGGCTCCGATAATATGCTCAAAGAGATTGATATGGCTTCGGGCTTGGTACGGAACGACCTTTACGTTGGCGGAAGTGGGGCTGCTTTAGGCCCATTAGCTCTCGCAAATTCGCAGCAAGTGCTCCTTGTCGGATCAGCAGAGCCTAATCGTCCCGGAACTGTGAGATTATACCGTTTGCCACTCGAGAAAGACCATCCAGTGCCTGCATTATTAAGCGGAGGAGGACAGACATCTACCTCTCCAGGCTCTATGTCGCCCACAGCTCAAACAGGAACGACGTTAGCAACTGCTGCTGGAGGTGCAAGCTCAGCTTTGCAGTCATACACAGAGTATCATTGCCATGATCTCCCAGTATCACGACTTCGACTATCGTTCGACAACCAATACCTCTTTTCTGCTGGTGAAGATGGTTCGTTATGCATCTTTGAGACGCAAAACGTGATCGGAAAAGGGGGTGCCAGTGGTGCTAGCAGTGGTCCAGGAGGCGGTGCGGTGGGTTCCAGAGAAGCTCGAAGTGATAGCACAATGCTAAGCGGTGGAGGCGGGGCTAATGGCTCGGGTTTGCCTTTCGCAGAGGAAATCCTGGTAACGAAATCCGATCTAGAAGAGAAGAATCGTCTTATGAACGAGCTCAAGTCCAAGGTGGATGAGCTAACGCTGCACAACGAGTATCAACTTCGGTTAAAGGATCTCAACTATAAGGAGAAGATTAAGGAAGTATCGGACAAGTTCACAGCCGAGCTAACGCAAGATCGACAACGCTGTGGCGACTTGCAGAACGACAAGAACGAAATGGAGAATGAATATCAAAAGAAAATGCGTGAGATGGCTGCAACGCACCGAAGTGAGGTGCAAGAACTGAAAACCACGTATGAAGCGAAAGTTGAAGCTGAAAAAGCGCGCTACGCAGCACTGGAACAGGCACGTGGCGAGCAGAATACACGATTCGAGGAAGAAAACCACCTACTCGTTGAAAGCCACACCCAGTTCCTAGCAGAAATGACAACTGAGTACGACCAAAAGGTAGCTCATGAGCAGGAACTTCAAGCAGTCTGTGCGCAGGCTAAGGAGGAGCTTATTGCAACAAACGAAGCGCTGAAGCGTTCTCTTGAAGAGGATGCAGAGCTCGAGGTAGAGGAGCTCAAGAGTAAGTACGAGCTGAAGCTGTCAGACGAGCGCGAGGCAACACTACGTCTCAAAGGTGAAAATGGCATCATGAAGAAGAAATTCTCTGCGCTTCAAAAAGATATTGAGGACCAACGCGAGGAGATCCGATCTCTTGAAGAGAAAGGGAAGGAGTTGACAGAGAACATCCGCGGTCTGGAAAAAGATATCCAAGGCCACAAGAAGGAGATTCGAGAGCGTGAGGAGACCATCCAAGACAAGGAGAAGCGTATCTACGATCTTAAGAAGAAGAACCAGGAGTTGGAGAAATTCAAGTTTGTACTGGACTACAAGATCAAGGAGCTCAAGCGTCAGATTGAGCCGCGCGAGCAGGAAATCGCTGATATGAAGACGCAAATTGAAGAGATGGATGCAGAGTTGGAGCAGTATCATAAGAGTAACGCTGCGTTAGACCTCATGATCGGAGAGCTGCGACTCAAGATGGATGGTATGCAAAAAGAACTGAACTTGCAGGCTGCACAGGTGGCTTTAGGCAAGGCGCTAGTACGACAGGTACAGACGGATTTGCTGGGGTGTGCTCAGCTTCTGGATAACAAGAAGGCTCTCAAAGTGGCTGTCATGGCGCTGAACAAGAAGTACGAGGACGGAGTCACGCCGGATGCTAAGGAACCAAACTCGCAGGCCGAGTACAATCGACAGCGTGAATATCTCGAGAAAGAAGTTGAGTCACTCAAGCGAAAAATCATGAAAGGCATGGCTATCAGCGAGAGCGAGTTGCATAGGCTACAGCGCGAAAACGCAATACTTACTACCCAGGTGAATGAGCTGCGACGTGAGTTCCACAACGTGCGCATGCAGACCCAAGAGGTGCGCGAAGCCAAGTTCAAATCCACTGTATCCATTGCCAATAGCGCAGTGAACAAGAAGCTCTCGGTGAGTACTGAGGTGATGCGTGAGCGCAAGGAGAAGATGCGCGAAGCAGAATTCCAGAAAGAGCACATTCTGCAGCTCAAGGCCCGCGTCACCGAGCTCCAGAAGACTCTTGGGGGTGGTCTCAAGTTTGCACTTACTGGATCCAGCAACTCTCCTCAGAACAGGCAGCAGCAGTACTCTAGAAGACCGGCTCCACCGGCAGCGCAGCGCCTTCCACCTGTATAATATCCACGTATACATTTTTTTTCTGGTATTTATTGCCCTGGTCGTGAGCTGGTCGTTCGCTTCGCTCGAGTATACATTGTAGCGCTCTGCCGAATCATCCGTGTCTACAAATTTAGTTAACAACAGCAATATCAACAGGTTAATGATTCCCTTTAACACAACATCACAAGACTCAGCAGGACGCACGTATTGCTGGAGGTGCTGCGTGATGTTGATCCGGTCGGGGATGTGAACATATAGCACCGTCTTGCCCATGACGAACACCTCGTCCAGCATCAGCGTAGTGCCCTACAGTTACGGGCATAGCGGTGTTAGCATCTACTACCGAAAGATTTTTTACACTTGCAAGCGGACTCACGTTCGGTTTGGTCTCGCAGGCGTCTAGCAGGGTGAAGTCCATATCCTGCACAACCTCCTGAACCACGCCTTCCAATACCGAATCATTCTTCAGGTCGATGCGCACACGCAGACCCACGAAACTCTTGAGTAGCAGAAGCAGCGAGCGCGGCTTGCGTCGCTTCCTCTTGGGCTTGGCCAACTTCACCGTCTCCGCCTGCTTCATCCAGATCAGCAAAATGGCACCACGTACACAATATGTACACTATTTAGTGTGACAGTGGTGTTGTTTAGGCTTCGTTCTGGACCAATGATTTCGTACTTAGGAAGAGGCCAGTCCAAAAGCAGAAAAGAATATCGGCGGTGGTCAAGAGCGACAAAGAGTGACTCGAAGCAGCAGGTGACGATGGGACCTCGCGGCGCCGGACGCCGTCTCAACGACCAGGAGCGCATGGAAATCTTGGAGATCATCCAGCGCGAGGCCAAGGTGAAGAATGTGGATCTTGCCAAGCGCTATGGCGTGTCGGAGGGGGCTATCCGCAAGCTCAAACAAATGAAGGACACTATCCGCAACCGCTACTACATGGGCAATGAACACAACCGTGACAAGCGCAAGCGCGGCGGATTCAAGCGGAATGCGCCCTTCGAGGAGGAATTGTATCAGTGGATCGTGCGCATGCGTGAGTCTCAGCCCTATCAGCTCATGCCGCTCACCCAGACAGCCGTGCGCCAACAGGCCATTATCCTGTCCAAGAACTACGAGAAGATGGCCAACTTCAAAGCCTCACCCGGATGGTTTGCACGATTTTGCTCGCGGCACCGACTGGACCCCATTGTCGCCAATGCTGCAGGAGGAGATACCGCCAATACGCCCATGGTATCAGCTCCAGCTGATGCCTCTCTATCGGCGGCGGGAGTGCCGCAAGCGGTAGCAGTACCGCCTGCAGTGTCGATGCCCATGACTACAAGCGCAACGGATGAGACGGCGTTCCTAATGGACTCACTCACGGCTGCGCCCTCACAGGCGATGGAAATGATGAATGCTACGGCTACGATAGCTACTGATGCGGAAGAGTCCAAGACGGACACGCCGTCAATTAATGAACAAGTCCAGCAGGCTGCTCGCGAGCATAATGAGGCCGCGCTGCGAGCTGCTGCGGCCAAGATTGGCGAGGCACAGGCCGCGTCAGAGGACAAGACTGCGGAGGCCGAACAGGAAGCGTCGGACACCGAGTCGGTCAAGAAAGAGGTGTCTGATGGTGAAGAAGAGGAGGTGAAGAAGGAGGGTGATGTCAATGCCGAGGACGAGATCTTCAGCCTCGGACTATAGTCAGTACGTTTTAATCAAACACATACTTAAGTAGCGCCAAGCTGCATTGCTCATTGCGACGCAAATTGCCCCATGATTCTGTTCCAAGAGATACCGATTCTCCTTAAATCGCGCTGGCATCTTTCTCAACCCGACTGACGGCTTTAACCGTTAGCGTATCGAGGGTGAATGATCGGACCATCGGATCATTATGGTCCTAGGCACTTGAGAATATTGTCGGGAGATGTTCAAGATATCATAAGCATGATAACGACCCGAATTTGCTATCTCGCCGGCTGCGCCGATTATGAATATTTCCGTGGAATCCATGTATGCAGGCCCCGAAATCGGGAGCGGATACAAGGAATGAACTCATGATGCACTCATATGCATTCTGTATATACCTGTCAACGTTTGCGGTGGAATAGGCGAACCTGGTTGACAACTAGTGGTTGTGTGTGCGGTATTGTACATGCCACGTGAAGGAAAAATTCATTGGGTCGGCGGATGGTTTGGACATTTGCGTACAGATCTCGAGCGTTTTTTTTTCTTTTGAGTTTATTTTAGTAGAGAACAAAGAGGTTGAGATGCAGTACTTTTGAAAGCAGGTTTCGTGACAACTTTAAGGCTAAATAATAGCTGTTGTCATGACTTTGGTTTGCATGTTCGTGTAGCCGCAACAAATTCAAATTCATTTCGGCCTCAGTACATGTATAACGAAAGACACCAACGCAGTTTTAGAAGTAACTGTTTGATAGCCCCATCATAGACTTGTAGATATTCAAGAACTTCAATTTGGTGTTCGTGGAATTGATGTCATGGCAATTGTGACTATTTCCGATTGCTGTAATCTTGAATACTTATCCTACTTGCAGGATACTGAATGCACGACAACGTCGCTCACGCTGTCATGGCTAACTGCTGCTGCGAATGCACACCACCGAGCTGCGCACGCTATGGGTCTCTGTTGCTTTACAGTCTGATGTCTTCCAGAGAAACGCAGCTAATCATACGTACATACTGTTGGTGTTAAATCGGAGTAGTTCGGGTCCGATGTCGTATCTCGAACAAGATGGTCCATTTGAAAATATACTCTAATAATATACTTATACGGTTTAATATTTTTTAGAATTGACACAAGCTACAAAACAAGTGTTTGGAAAGTGCCTTTTCTTAAACAGGCCGATGTGAGCTCGTATAAGTAGACACAAGTGTGTTTAAAACAGGTCAAGTACCCACTAAATAATCGGACTTACTTAAGTAGCCGTTTAAATAGTACTAATGCATTATACAATTTTAATATTAAAGGCCACATGTAGCGTTACAACACTACAGTACTATATTGCTTTGCCCGGTTCTTGCAAATCTCGAAATATCAGTACTACGCGACTAGAAGTACTACACAGCTCTTCGCGATCTTGCAAATCTAGAAATCGCACCGGGACAAGCATACAACGAGATGCTGGCACACGAGGCCGTCAAGACCACCAACATGTTCAGCTCGCTGACCAAGACCAACAGCATGGGTGGCAGTAGCACTGCGAGTGCCAGTAGCGGCACACCCACTTCCTCAACCGCCAGCTCCAAGAAGAAACCCAAAAGCAAAAAGAAGAAGTCCAAGTCCAAGACAGACAATGCGTCGCCTGTGGGCAACAAAAGCCCAGTCGAGCACGAAGAAATTCCGGCGCAACTACCGCTAGCGCAGCGACTGGAGGTGGCGGCGGCCATCCCCGACACCCACGCGGCGCTCGTGGGGCTGCTAGGCTGGAGCAGACTTTACGTGCACACTGATACCATCCTCACCTTCTTCCAGAGCGACGCGCTGTCTCTGCTGCTGAGCAACGTACTTCGTTCCCGGCCTGCTGCTGCTGTACTGGACAACTTAGAGGCTCTACTAGCCAACTGCCTCTCTGTCGAGAGCAGTTCCGACACGATGGAGGCAATGGGAACAGCACCGCATCGACAGATGGCTGGAGAGGTTGTTGCAGCTGTAAGGGCCATTGCCGACCAGTTACAGGGGGATGTGGAGGATGCTGAGGACATTGATGCAGAAGCCGAACGTGCTGCAAAGAGTTTGAGTCGGTTGGTGCGTGCACACGCGCTGTCGCTGCATGGCGTGGATCTGGACTCGCCGCTGACGAAGGATGTCCAGGATCTGGAGGCCAAGATTGCACAAGTGACGAAGGCGGACGAAGCTGTGCGAGGTCAAACGATCCGAGAATCGTTCCAGCGACGTGATCTGCGTAGCGATGCGTTGTCACTGTATGAAACACGTCTCAAGAAGCTCACCAAGTTGGTCGAGGAGCGAGTCCGCAGCTCTGAACAACATAAAGTGGAGGAGGAAGCAGAGGAAGACGAAGATAGTCCTGAGGACGATACACAAACAGTGGAAGATGAAACCCTGATGCAGGAAGTGACCAAGTCCCTGCAGGATATGCAAGACCGCAAGGACACAGAGCTGGCACCGCTACGCAAAAAGAAGACGGCAGCGAGCGCTGAGGTACAGACGCTGCGCCAAAAACAGGAGGAATTGGAGGCTCAGTTACGTGCAGTGAAGAGTGAACTACAACGCGCAGTTGGAGAGCAACACCAAGCTGATGAAGACATGCGTGCAGTTGAAGAGCGCTTCATCGCTGACATTGCACGATTCCGTGCCGAGCACCAGCACGTAACGCGGCGATTCTCCCGAGCGCAGCGTCGCCGCGTCATCACTACCGAGGTGGGCAGAGTGGAGAATGAAGTTCGTCAGGCGAGGCTTGCTCACAGCCAAGTGCACACGCTGCGTGCCAAGCAGACGGCTTGTATTTCGCAGCAACTAGAGGCTTCGCTCAACTATTTTGAAAGCGAGTTGCCATGCGTCAAGTTCATGATGTCGAGAGTGGAGGAAAACGAAGCGAAGCTGGCCCCGATGCGCGGCGAGATCACATCGTATCGAGCGTTGGGCGTCTCAGCTGTCGCTCAAGAGCTCGAAGAGAAGGCTGCAGAGATCGAAGCGCATCTAGAAGAGGATCACAATTGCCTGGCAGCACTGCACAGGCGCGACGACGAGCTGCTGGGCAGTATGCGCCGCATATTGACAGATTCTTCCTTGCGCGACGCCCTTGCTGGCGTTGAGGAGAGAATCAAACACGAGTCGCAGCGCATGATCGACTATGTAAGCAAAATCTATGAAGACAGCAACACTCAAACGGCTACAGCTAATGGTGGCCCCAAAAGCAATGGGACGATCGGCTCCAAGAAATAGTCGGGCACGCAGTGACAAGATCTTGATAACACTGGCATTGAATTCATTTTATCCGTATCTAGCTGGTGTCCATGTGAGTTCTTTCATCATGGGACAATTTGACGGGACAAAGAGCTCTTTTTGAATTGCCACATTTGCAGGAATGATTTCTTGTCGACTCGGAGAGTGTACGAGGAACTATTGGGCCGATGATGGCGGACAAAAGCGTCGGTCATGGTCCAGGCACGCAGAGAGTGGTGCTGACAATCACAAGCGAAAGCGAGTTGGGCTTAATGCGCATGTCGCCCGCACCCCACGCGATGGAGGAGCAGAGAAGCACTTCCATCGGACCAACATTCCGTGAAGGCCTAGCAGAGCACCAGCCAAGATCAGAATATCGATTCGTCTGAGCCAAGACAGCGGAACAACCGCAAAACTCGAGTAACAGGTTGTGCCTTACTCTTCACTCGTCGTTCAGTGCTCCGGCCACGCGCAGGAAGACGTCGCGTGGGATACCGCACATGCAACCCGGGACACCACAGACAAATTGCTGTCCAAGCGTGACACTACGTCGTGTGCTCCCTCTCCGGCTTTGATGCACAGAGTTGTTGTCATCAGCGCATTCTCGCGCTCGAGGCGTCTTCGTTATGGGTGTTGGTGGATCGCTTCGTTGCGACAAGCTCGACTGTGGCTCCTGCTCTTGTTGAGAGGCTTGCTGACGCTGTTCATACCGAGCCGCGTTGAGCTTGACGGAAGCGTTCTCGATCTGTCGCTTGAGCACATGCAGCTCGCGAGTGTACTGTGTGCAGTTATCTTGAGCCTGCCTAGCCTCCTTCAACAGATCCGTGACTTCTTGCAACTCAATCTCCAAAGCCTTCACAGCATTATCTTGCTTTGCCACACAAGCTCGAGCATGATCGCGCTGCTGGATGGCACTGGCAAGTCGCTGAGCATACAGTTGTCGACGCTGGCTTCGCTGCTCCAGCACCTCTCGAGATCTGGCGAGCAAAGTCAACAACTCAGTGGCATCTTGGCTTTTAGCAGCCTTCTGTCGCTCCAGATCTTCGCTGATAGCTCGCTGTTCCGCTTGACGAGCTTGTGCTTGAGTCTGTAACGCAAGAAGTCTGCTCCGCCTCGCTTGAGTGATGTTGAAGTCACAACAGTGCCGAATCCACGCGCTCAACGCTCGGGTAAGCGCGTGTCGGCGCCAATACTGGAGCTTTTCATCCGCTACCATCAAGCCGCGCTGCGGTTGAGACTGCGAACGAGCATCGGAAGGCAACTTGAAGGTACACTTATGCACCTCGGCAGTGTGATGGACACAATGGAGACCATGGCACCATCCGTCTACAGATATCATACTTGAAGTATCTGTTGAGCTCTGTAGGCTGTTGAGGTCGTGCGGTTGGAGTGGGCCAGCAGATACCCAACACCCGACGAACAGTGCACCAAACGCGTAAAGCCCCACTCCATGGCATGCTGTGGGCGTGCTCCCACCACCGACGGTGCCTTCATAACGCAGTGTGGGACTGTAGCGCGTGCCGTAGTGTACTTGTGTCCCGTTGTGCCATTGCCCGCAGTACGTGTGGCCTGTCGCAGTTGTGAGCACGCCTCGTCCGTGAGGTCGCCATTCCTTCTGCTGCGGTGCATCAAACGCTTGAACTTGGCCGCGGTAGATTCCTTCGGCAAAGTCAACTACCTGGTACTCGACGGTCTCATTATCTGTGTTGTCTGCGGTTGCCGTCACCGTCGCAGCATTTCCTTCTTCGACGTCGTCTTGTTCCTCCTCTAGCGTTTGTCGGAGTTGTGTGAGCTCTAGGCGGAGAGCGGCAAGTTCTAGGCTGGAAGTAACCTCTGGAACTTCCGCCTTCTCTGCCGAAGGCGTTGTAGGCGAGATTGCGCCCTGGCTACAGTTCGATGCGCCCGGTTGAATTGGCTCCGCAGCATCTGCGCTGGAATGTCCGTCCACGAGCTTCAACTCGCCACGAGTTCGTCCTTCCGCAGATCCTGTGCCTCCAGTTGCAGTTGCAGGTGCCAAGGACTGGTCCTCGCCGCTCATTTCTGACGTAGATTCGCCGTGAGCTTGCAGTGCATCAGCGTCATCTCCATCTGCCATTTGAACTGACTGATGTCCGCCCGCCCCGTCCAAGCGGCGTGCGACGGCTTGTTATTTTAGCAGCTAAACTTTAGCCTTGCCATGCCTCCTCGCATGATTTTGCTGGCGCTGATACCAAGCAGAGCCAATTGGAGCCGCTCGAGGCATTGCGCAAAGCTTAACACGTGGTTGAAGCGCGTGCAAATTCAAGCGAAGTTCAACCTGCCGTTAAGCAGCTCGAGTGATTGTGAGGTGGGGCCTGGAGGCTTCGTCATGTTGCGATTAGCGAAGGTATCTCTTGCAGTGGCTACAACCTGCGTGAAATTGTCATCGAGATCTCCCAATACGCTCCTGTGTGAAGGACCATTGCCACCTAGACTGACATCAGACGCCAGCCAAAGGCCCACGGCGGGCGGACTTGGTTGGAGGAAGTTGAATCCAGTGCCTTTGCCGGATGTGCTGCACAGCTTTTCGTGTTCAAGTGTACAGACATAATTTCCGGTGCAACTTCGGGTCTGTCTCTGGTGATGCACAAGGTTTTTGACACAGTTTGTTTAAAAGTGCACACCTAGTCGCTTGCCACGTCACAGGTGCAACGCGATTTGGCCGGAGACCGCCGAGCTTGCACTTGTGTGTGGACGAGCGAGCGGATACGCCGTACGCTTCCGATCCGCTTGCGCCGCTCGCAGAACTCAGGACCAGTTTTCATTCCTCATTCCGCTCCGTCCGTGACAAGCGCCTGCCCCCGTCCAAGCAGAAGGAAGCCTCGCTCAGATGATGCAAGTTTCCCAGTTCCGAGCGCTGCGCCGCGCGCAGTCGACCATGCACAGCCGTCCGCTCCAGACGTCGCTGGCCCGGGCCTTCTCGGCGCAGAGCGACGCGGACGTGGAGGTCTGCGAGAAGGAGCTGCTGCAGTCCCTTGACAAATTCCAGAAGGAGGCCGCCGGCAACGCCGTGCCCTGGTTCCTCGAGAACATGCCGCCGTCGTACTTCCGCTCCATCCACGAGGAGGACCGCCTGCAGCACCTGAACGCCATCACGGCTCTGGTGGGCGCCGAGCAGCCGGAGGTTCTCCTGCGCTCGCCCGACCAGAAGGTCTTCTCGCACTTCCGTTCGGGTGCCAACTTCCCCGGACGTCTGGCCAACGTGCTGGACCAGCTCCCTCAGACGGTGGACGGTGCTCCACTGGCCCGTGTCAAGATCTTCACAGCGCTGGACGACTCGCTCGGCCTCGACATCTTCCGCTTCGGACAGCAGGAGCCCTTCCTGAACAAGACGGAGGACGAGAAGCTCGCTCGCGCCACCATCCAGCAGTTCTGCGCCGACATCCAGGCCGGCAAGCACGCCGGCGACGAGGCGTACCCCGCCGCGGGCCCGCACTTCGAGCCCGAGGCCGTGGACGCCTTCCTGAACAGCAGCAACTCCATGTACGTGCAGTTCAGTCACCCGCGTCGTCTCGCCAAGCAGATGGAGCTGTTCCACCGCGTCAAGGGCACCGAGGGTGTCGTCGTGGACGTGGAGCACAACTGGGAGTCCCGCACCAAGGAGAACAAGTACGCTACCAGCGCCCCGCAGACCATGCTGACCATCGCTGCGTCCAACGTCCTCCCCAAGGGCTTCATGCAGAAGGCCGCCACCTACCTGGGTCTGTGCAACCTCAACGTCGTCCGTGCCCACCTGGACGTGGTCAACAGCGGTGACAACGACCACGTGGCCATGGTCCGTATCCTGGTGCAGCCCAGTGAGCAGGCTCTGAAGGACAACTTCGAGTTCGAGTGGTCCAAGATCTCGGGCAACCTCAAGTACCTCAAGTGGGTGGACGACCGACCGGTGAACCTCACGCTGCAGCACCCGGACCTGGGTATCTCGCGCGCTGAGCTCATCTACGCCTACGGCAACATGATGCACGGTGTTCTGGCCAAGAAGGACCCGTTCGCGTACTCGCTGACGCGCATCATGGAGACGCTCGAGCACGAGCAGCACCTGCCGTTCGCTTCGCGCATCTCGGACTTCTTCCTCACCAAGTTCGACCCCCAGCAGAAGCAGATGACTGACGCCGAGCAGGACGCTATTGTCGATGAGATCAAGGCCGACATCCGTCGCAACGTGGAGCAGGAGGACGCCATCGAGTTGCTCAACACTATGGCCGATGCCGTTCGCGGCACGCTTCGTACCAACAAGTTCGTGCGTGAACGCTACGCTCTGTCGCTCCGCATGGACCCCAAGGTCTTGGGCTACGGCACAGTGGGCAAGGACACGCCGTTCGGTGTCTTCTTCATCTACGGCCGTCGCTTCAAGGGCTTCCACGTGCGTTTCCGTGACATTGCTCGCGGTGGTCTCCGTATGGTGTACCCCAGCTCCACGGACGCCCACGCGCTGGAGAGCGCTCGTCAGTACAACGAGGCGTACAACCTGGCTTTCGCTCAGCAGCTTAAGAACAAGGACATCCCGGAGGGTGGCTCCAAGGCCGTGGTGCTTTGCGACCCCATCGTCGGACCCGTTGGTGACATGGCTCCGCGTGACTTCATCATTCGCAAGAGTGTCAAGGCCTTCTCGGACGCTCTGCTTGACCTGAACACCACGGACGAGGCTGTGAAGGAGAAGATCGTCGACTACTACGGCCAGGACGAGCTCATCTACCTGGGCCCCGATGAGAACATCATCCCTGAGGACATTGTCTGGATGACTAACCGTGCTGCATACCGTGGCTACCCGGTGCCGCGCGCCTTCATCAGTTCCAAGCCTGACGCTGGCTTCAACCACAAGGTGTACGGTGTTACCAGTGAGGGTGTCGCTGTCTTCGCCGATGTGGCTCTGCGCTCGCAGAACATCGACCCCACCAAGCAGCCGTTCACGGTCAAGATCACCGGCGGAACGGACGGTGATGTGGCCGGCAACGTCATCAAGATCCTGCACCGCGAGTACGGCACCAACCTGCGCGTGGTCGGCATTTGCGACGGCACGGGCGTGATCGAGGACCCTCAGGGTCTGGACATGGGCGAGCTGCTGCGTCTTGTGGACGAGTCGCTGCCTCTGTCGAGCTTCGATGACTCCAAGATCGCGTCTGCTACCGGTGTCAAGCACGACATCAGCACGGCCGAGGGCATTCGCGCCCGTAACACGATGCACAACCGCGTCAAGAGCGACCTGTTCATCCCCGCTGGTGGCCGCCCCAACACCATCAACGAGAACAACTGGCAGGACTACCTTGACGCCGATGGCAAGCCGTCGTCGGGCCTCATCGTGGAAGGTGCCAACCTGTTCGTGACGCCTGAGGCGCGTCAGCTACTGTTCGACAACGCCGGCGTCGTCATCGTCAAGGACAGTTCGGCCAACAAGTGTGGTGTGGTGTGCTCGTCGTACGAGATCGTTGCCAGCATGCTGCTCGAGACTGACGAGTTCCTTGCCGTCAAGGACGAGCTGGTCGTCGAGGTGGTGGACAAGCTGCGCTCCCTGGCCCGCGTCGAGGCTCAGCTGCTGTTCCGTGAGTACAAGAAGGACCCGTCGTCGGCCCTGCCGCCCGCCAGTGAGCGCATCAGTCGCGCCATCACCCGCGTGCACGATGCCGTCCTGGCCCACTTCGACAACGTGTGCGATGAGGACCAGCAGATCCTGTTCACGCTGATTGAGGAGCACCTACCGCCCAAGCTCCGCGAGTTGGCCCTGGACCGCGTGCACCAGAACGTGCCTCTGGCTTACATCCGCTCCATCGTGGCCTCGAGCCTGGCCAGTAAGATCGTCTACCGTGAGGGTCTCCAGTTCACGGAGGCTCTTCCGGAGAGCAACCTGGGCAACATGGCTCTGCAGTACCTCAAGCAGGAGAAGAAGGTGCAGCGTCTCGTGCAGGACGTGCGCTCGTCCTCGCTCGCTAACAAGGACGACATCGCCGACCTCATTGCTCGTGGTGGCGTCCGTGCCGGCATGGACACCCCCAACTAAACTGTGCATTAATTAAACCCATTCGTTAGATGAGCATGTGATGATGATTCTTTTGTTGTTCTTCTTGCTGTGTTGTCCAATGTCCTCCTGTTCACTAGTGGGGTGTTGCAATCCACTTATTTTGGAAAATGGAGCTAAAAAACTTACTCCCTGCACGAGCGCATGGTAGGAGTTACCCGTTGTCACTTTATTTCGACAACCCATTCATTGCCGCATAAGCTGAGGTAAAGGCCGAAGACTGCTCTCAAGGCTGCAGCAAAAATGGACAGCAAACAACACGAGGATCCAGCATCGGAACGTGGTAAGGACAATGAGGTATCGACTCGAGGTGGGGCTCAGATTCCTATTGTGGAGCCACGCTTTCTTCATTTTTCTCTGATGCTGACATTTTCTGTTGTGCAGATGCATCGGTAATGCGTTGTGCTGCAAAATTATCGCCACCAAGCTCTGGAGATTGATAACATCTTGTTTTGCTGGTGTTGCAGGTTGCATTCTTGGAGAATCAAGGAGCTGTCGTGAAGAGCAAGTCACCATCAAATGCAGCTCTACTGAAAGCAGGGCTGAAGACGAATTTATCCCCGTCAGAGGCAACAGCACAGTTGCGTGTGCTATGCCGTAAATTTGCTGCACTCACGGAGAAAGTGAAGGTATGCCATCTTCTCTATCGGTGCTATCCTTTTTCGAGTTGAGTTCATGATTGATTCGTGCTGTGTACTCACCAGGAGGAAACGAAAGTTCGTGAAGCTGCGGAGCGGGAAGTTCGTCGACTGAAAGCGCTCCTCGGCAACGAGGCATCACCTGTAGTTGCATCCTGCCGAGCTGAGACGCAAGCTTACGTACGGGAACTTAAAGAGACTGTGGGCAAATTAAAACGTGAGCTACGACTCGAAAAAGAGAAGAACGAACGAACTGTAGCGAAGGCGTTAGAGCTCGAACGTGAGAAGAGTGCACTATTGGCTTCGCCGTCTCCTCCGACCCAACCAAGCCCCATGCGTGCCACAAGTTCTCAACAAGATACTTCGAGTAGCAGTTTAAAGCATCATTCAGCTTGGGATAAAGAGCAGGTGAACAAGATACAGTCAACGCTGAAGCTCACGATCGAGGAGCTTGAAGACGAGCTGTCACGCAAAGAGGAAGAGATTCAAACGTATCGCGAGCGATCTCAGCGCGATAGAGCTCGTATCAAAGCGCTCGAGGACGAAATCCATGCAAGGGATAACGCACAGCGTGCGGCTCAGGAGGCTCGGCGACAGCTTGAAGCAGATTTACAACAAGCTCAGACCGAGATCACCAACGAGTTAGAAAACATGCAGCGTATCCACGATCAGGCACGAGAAGATCGAGCGATGCGTGAGACTCTGGAGCAGCAATTGGTCACACTGGGCGAAGTGAACGCTGCACTGGAGCAGCGGAGTCGTGCACTTGTCCGTCGACTTGAACTCGCATCTGCTGCGACGCAGGAGTGCCAAGATCTCAAGATGCAACTTCGTGATGCCGAAGTGGACAACGAGACTTTGATGCAAACGGTAAGAGTAGCTAATCTCACCAGTCGGGTGGCTTTCTTACGGGCTTGTTCTTTTGGTCAAAGATCCGACATCTGAAGGACGAGCAGTTCACCCGCGAAAAGGACTGGAAGGTGCGACTGGAAAGCGTAAAAGATGAAAAATCTCAAGTGGAGCAGCAAGTATGCGAGCTTCAAGAAGACCTGGCGTCGCTCCAAGCTCAGAACTCCCTCTTTTCCGAGTGGATGCTTGTTCGCAATGAAAACACGATTGCAGCACAGCGAGACGCACCTCAAGATCAGGAGTACTCACAGCAGCGAGATCAAACGAGACATCGATCCACTTCACCCAAGAGTAAGCACAAGAATGCGTGGCGTTTGGAGCAAGAGTATGAAGCCGATTGTAGTAGCAATGGCAACTACGCATTCCGTCGTGTCGACCACGACGTGTCGCCGCACAGTCGCTCCAATTTGCACGGAGGTCGACCCAATTCTCCGCAAAGCGTTCGCAGTGAACACGATGACGATCCTCACTATATGATCCCCGACACAAGCACCAGGTCTCGTCCGGGCTCACCCAGGCAAAGATCGTCACGAAAGTGGCAATCGACCACCCGTTCAAGTCATCGTGTGCGTCATCACAACATGGAACGGGTCAAGCCACTATCCCCACGCTCACCGCATGATAGAATGCAGCGAAAGACATCCACGACATCTTTGTCGTCCGTGTGTTCGTCAGCTACCAGTGCAGCAGCTTCGTCGTCCTCTTCCGACCACGAACGACTGCGGAAACTAATGAGCCGCAACCGCGAATTGCAGCAACGACTGCAACAGGAAACCATGGCCACGCAAAATCTAGAGCGGGAGATAACCAACATGACGTCGTAAGCTCAATAATAACTATTCATCGAACAAGTTGCGCTTGACGTTCGCTGCCCTTGCGTGTTGACAACATTTGTCGAGCGTCCGCCCTCGTCGTCACGGAGAAATTCCTCCACGAGCGGCGTCATACTGATCGTCTCCAGCACAAGATCACCACTGTCACGAGTGGGTACGGTGAGAACCGTTCTCCTCGCTCGACTGACATTGCACAACTTCAAGGTGATGAGCTGTGGGAAGAGACGGCGACTGGAGAGACTGCGCGCGCCGGTTTCTATGAGAGTTTGTATTGAGGTGGTGCCAGTCATCAAGAAGGCACCCCTTTGTGCTCTTGCGGTCGTGGCCCTGGTG